TCTCCTGGTATCATGTGCCGTTCTAACCTGATAAAACACACAGAGGATTTACTTTATTTTCATTTTAGTTTGTAGGGGCAGGTGGCGATAACACCATTTGAGGCTAAGTAATCACAACAAAACCATCTGAATAGGTATTTCTTTACCCAAACTATAACTCCAGCAATTTGCAAGTTTATGGTGACTCATGTTTTCAAGGCCTACTGAATTGTTATGAATAAAGAGCAAAACACTCTGGAGTTTTGCTTTTATCCAGCGTATTCTTTCCTTGCGCTCTTCAATGCTTTAAACGTCTGACATTTATGGTTAAGGAGGTAAAGGGCACAACTCCATCGGCTTAATTTCTATATAATGGACTTATATAGTATAATATAGTACTTTGTGAATCTCCATGAGGCATTCATTTAAAGCGACATGTTTTGCAAGGAAGTACATTTAATCCCAATATTCACTCTCCTTTTAGCTCTAATTTGGTCTCCACCATCTCCTTAAGCAGATGTTATTTAGTATACAGAGGCATACAGCCTTTCACTAAAAACACTGGATACAAAATATTGATTACAGCTAAATATACAATATACATTTTCCTGAATACAAGCAAGAGGCAAATGACACAACACTGAGCATGTTCATCCAGCATTTCTTTATCCCTCATTCTACTTTCCCCCTTTCATCCATCTCCATCCATCTTGCACCCTTCTCCATGTGAAGGCTGTGATTTGCATTCATAACATGCTTAGTGCTGTTGTAGCTGATGTGTGACACCTGTCCTCTGAGGGAGGAGCTTTTTTTATCACATCAATCGTCCTTATTGGTATGGAAACCATGTCTAATCCCCAGTAGGTACACAGACTAATGTATTAAACATACAGTCATTGATTACAGATGGCAAGCCAACATCTTAGAGGACCCCCCCTCAAACAAAATCCCATTTCAAACCTCTGGCTGCCATTTTGTATTTTGAACAATTTACTATATTCCTAATGTAGGTTTACCATATGTTTGGAAAGAACTTAATTGGCAAGAAAAACAAGATATATTCACAATCAAATGTCACTATTATATAATAATGTTACTGTCTGTGTTTAAAAGCCACCGAAGCTAACAATACAGCAAGCTAGTAGCTAAGACGATGCAGGAAATCCAGAGGCACATTGACTGGGGACAAAGATAAAGCCACTGGGAATATGTACATTTATCTCAAACATATGAAAAGTTATTTATACAATTAAAATGACAATATATTTACTAATTAGGTATTTAAAACGTCCATGGCCTCCTATACTCTGAAAATGTCACACCATTCGAGGGCAGCAATGTTTAACTGCATATATATATGGAACGAATACCATGGCACTATCAAATATTCCAACCCAGTCTCACAAAAAAACGTGTAATATCTACGTTGATCCAGAGGGCAAGACATACTATGTTCACAAGTAACCCTCTCAAAACGTGACATGGCTACAAGTGAAGATGGCATTATTTGTATGTGTGTATCTCTCCAAAAAATACAGATGATTTGTCCACCAAGGTCATCTCTGATCCTCATCTAACAGCCATATCAAATCTGCAGGGAAAGCTGTCTGGGAACACATTCATAAAAACACGCCAGTAGTTACACACACACACACAGCCCAAGTTAGCAAGTGTGTATTGGATTTTTCCCCCAGTCAGATTTTCTTCATAGATTTTTTTAAAGGTTAGATTTACACCGTGACTGCTGCCATGCCATACATACAGAGATCAATTCATAACGCTACTCAGTCAGTATTTACATGACTGAATGGTCATTACTGTATGTGAAACCTGAAACTTCATTAACAAGTATTCATAGATGTTAACAAATGGTGGAAGAAAGGCATGTGACTACAGACAGACCCATGAAATGTTTTACATACTTAAAGCAAAAGTTAAAAAAAGATAACCCTTTTTAGCCTAAGTATACAATAAATTGGGTTCTTGACCTTGCTATTGTATTTTCCTTTCAGATTACAGTTCCACTAAACTATTGATAGAGTCTATTGTTTTGTTTCTCTTTGACCTTCACAATCTGCCATTGTCCAGCACTTTCCGTTAGCTAGAGTCGGCAGAATGTACATGGAGAGGACATTAGTGTGAAATCACACACACACACACACACACACTGAATTCTTAGTATTCTCTGGGCGACTGCAATCAGCTTCACAGTGTCCTCAAGACGTCAGACAGACCTGAGAAACCATGAAAGGTTCCTTTTACACACTGCAGTCCATTGTCATTAGGCACACTGAAAACACAGGAATATGTGTAAAAGTGCACGATACAATCCACGTGGGTTGTCTTAAATTAGAAGTGGAAGTGTTCAGTATTATAGTAAAACATAAATACGATACTTATAGCAGGTGAAAAGCAGTGGAAAAAAATAAGCTAGTGTCATTAGAGCTGCAACTAATGATTATTTCCTGATTGATAAAATGTCAGTGAGTACTGTGGACACTTTTGATAACGTTTTACCGTAGGTCAAAGTTACGTGTTCAGATGCCTTGTTGTGTCAGAGTAACAATCCAAGACCCAAAGATGTTGAATGATATAAATAAGCCAAGTAACAAATCCATACACTCGAGGGACTGAAATCATGAATGTTGAACCAGCTCAGTGATTAATACTATGTACCACGTATACTCCCAGATGCCATTAACTTGGCTCGATTATGAAAAAACATAAGCAGATCTTATGATCAGACCCAACATTATACTTAAAGACAGCTTTGGAATGCTAATGTCAAATCAATAACAGATACACAGTCCCTGATAACAAGTGTGCTCAAGGTAACAATAGGGTGAAAGGGGCATTTCTGGCTCAAATTATTAATCAATGACCAAAATAGTTGCAGGTTAATTGTCTGTAATTTATTTGTAGAATAGTTTATCTATTTTTGTTTACATTAATTGCCACTTTATTATATTTGGTGGTGTATCCATTTTGGTTTTGAAAGGACAAGTTACAATTCTATGAATATATGACACACTTGTGGGTAAATAAATGTGTACAGATTATGATAAATGAAGTATATTGTATAAAATATATTTGTTATTACTCTATTATCTTCCAGTTTTGTCATACATGTGTTCTATACAAAGACAACAAAAGACTTGTATGAGGATATGAGTAAACAAAGACTGATCCTGGCCTTGACTAAAGATCCTTAATTAGAACAAACATCTATGTTGCTAAATCTGTCCCCAGGCGCAGTTTAAAGACTATCCTATGTTTGTCCCAAATATATATCCTACTAAGAGGATTTCCATCTGTCCTGAGAACAGAAGGAGACTTGATTTCACCTTTCATATTCCTCTCCGCAGTCTGGATGGAAGCCCTTGTGTCTAAAGTTATTGCAAAAATGATTACATTTCTTTTATCGCATGAAACCAGGCTTGAAACAAACCTTCTTTAATATCAAAGTCTAAATTCTTCATAGCTAGACGTCTTCTGTATCGATCCCTAATACATCTCTGCTTTTGAAGGTCAGGATAATAGAGCATGCATCCAATCTGAATCCTATCATTGTATATAAAAAGATAACAATACACAGGTAGAAGAAGCTGCCATGTAGCAAGAAAACAAGTCTTTTATCTCACCAGGGTAAGAGTAAAGGTGGTAAGAATAGCAAGGAGACTCAAGGTCAAATATGTTATTCATTTCAATTCAATTCAAAACCTTTATTTATCCAGATGAAATCCCATTGAGATCATTGATCTCTTTTTCAAGGGAGACCTGCAGCAGTAGGTTCCACATGAAGACATCAAAACATAAACAACAGAACAACAAAAGGACATAAGGAGAACATCTATTAAGGAGATGTTGCCTGCGCCGGCGGGACTGAGCTGAGCTGGGTGGGGGGGGGGGCTTCATCACATGCAGGACCGCTCAGCCACTGCTCAGGAAATGATGTTTCCTTGGACTGAGAGTTCTCTGATTGTTTCTATATTTAGGGAATTCCTGGGGATCAAAGAGGCAAAGATCTGGGGAATGTATGTGCACAATAATAACCCCCAGCATCGATTGTATACCTCAGATTGACGGAGATAAGTCATTGTTTGTGTTAAACTGTATCAAAGGTGAGTCTCTTCAACCTCGAGTAAACTGTGTAGGAGGCTGGATGACGTGAGTAGTTCTGTGCCTCGGAAAGCCAGGATGGAAACTAATAAAACAGATGGTTCAAAGGAGAAATGGGTCCTGTTTTGGTAGTTTTGGCAGCCCCATATCATTAGGAATTGTGCTGATATTGGACAATTCTGTTCCATACCATTATATCCAACTTTTAGTGCCAAAACAGGAAGTTGTTGTGCCAGATACACAGCATGGTGGAATACTGTATAAGCTACTTTCATGCATCAGATTAGGGTTTTCTCTCTAAGATAAACATTTATATAAACTGTAACCGTAGCCTTTCCCTAACCTTAACCAAGGTACATTGCCATAACCAAGATTATCCACTTATCTCAGTAGCCCATCACAGATATTGCAGAAGGAGTGACTGAATATAATTCTGGGTTGTACACCTATGTTGATGTGGATGATGTCAATACCTGACCCGAGTTGTTATAAATTGGAAAAAACCATTAAAGTTTGCCTTAATATGAGGATTTGTTTCTGTGGAGTGGATTTGTTTGCCAAGCCAAAATGTCAACATCAGCATTCTGGTTATATAGGGTCTAAATATAGTGCTTGGAAACAGCTGCATTCAGACTCAACCAGCTGACAGTGGGTGTGCAGATGTGTGAAAGCTGAAAATTGTAACATTCAGCATGTGTGTTTGCACGACACTGTTTCCCAGTGTCCGCAACAACGGGCGATCTCCGCTAATGAACAATCTGCTCGCTGAGGTGTGACCAAAGGCATTGTGATGGGAGCCACACAGTGGACTACTGATGCAGTGAGAGAGAGAGGGAGAGAGAGAGAGAGGGAGAGAGAGAGAGAGTGGGAGGGAGGGAGGGAGGGAGAGAGGGAGACTGGAACTCAATTCCACACAGACGAACGTACACTGGCTCAGTGAGACGGTCTCCTCTGCAGGACACACACACACACAGCTGGCTCTGGATTGTGATTCTTATTCCCTTCATCTGCAGGTACGTTTCATCTGTCTCTCTGCATGTGTGTGTTAATCAGCTGCTCTGCATCTACGGTAGGAATATATGGGGTCTGACTCCAATATGCACGCTGTCACACGCTGAGAAACACACTATAGCTGCAGCTATAGGTAAACCCACTGACACACACTTACATATTTCCTTTCAAACATGTAATGAGGCTTGTGGTTGATCTAAATGCATTGATGCACATTTGAAAACAGGGATCAGAGGGAATCTATTGGCAAAAATGTAATGTGTACATTGGATGTTGTATATGTTAAATATGACATCTGGATAACCCTGATTGATACACATCTGTCATTTTCACGTTATTCCTATTGGATTATGTAATCATATCCATCCATGTTAGCATAAGGATGTACGGAATGTTTTGATGTCAGCAAAACAGTCAAATGCTCTTGCAGGCATGGGTTGTTTATGTGTGTGTGTGTCTGTTTATGTGTGTGTGTGTGACTGGCCATTTGCATGCGAGTGCAGCACACTCCCACAAGCGGAACAGCGGAGCCCAAAAGGTGCTGAAATCCCAGGGATTAGCAAGACGTCTTTGGCTTCAGCTGTCACCATGGCAAAGGCAGCCGGTGGAACGCCTGTGTTTGAGAGCGTCTTTTGTAATCAGGCATTCATAAGCTATAGGGCTAACACAAGCATTAGCTCGCCACTATTAATGTCATTCTAAAGCATAAATGGGAATATGTTTGATCAGTGCTCAAAGTGGGGATTTAAAGAGGTGGAGTATATGAGGCATGGAAAGTGTGAGGAGAGCCAACCTGAACCAAGGAAAAGGAAAAATTGAGAGAATCAACAAGTTTTTGACCACACTGTTGATGTTACTGGAGGAGTTTTGCATGTGGAAATGGGATTTATAAGAGTGCATGTAAGAGAATCAAAGAAGATTAGAATAGAAAGGCATTAATCTTGTTCGTAAATAGCATGACTCAGGATGTTTGGTTGGAAAGCTTACCTGTTGGAGTCGTGCCCGTGATGATGCTTATTTGACCAGAGGTGTCTATTCTTGGACACAAGAGCAGCAATCATTACCAGGGGACTATTGACTGAAGCTGGCTGCATCATGTCTGTGTGGGGGTCTGTTACAACGCAGTGAGGGTATGAGAGAGAAACCACTTGGAAATGGTGCCAAAAAAGGAATAACAGTTCACTTCGATGGGGAATGATGTAGCACAAACAGCAGTGAGAGAAATGTTACCAAGACAGATATAAGAGTGCAAGATCCTCCTAAAGATGTTCAAAACGGTTGATCTATTCCTTTAAAATGTGCGAAACAACACATTTCTGCTCTTGTTTTTAGACAAACTAGCCAGTGGAAATGTAATATCGCAAAATATGGAGGCCAATAATACGAGGGATTCATTTTATATTACAGTATTGATATTGTGTGTAATATCTTGAATCAATCTTTATTGATATAAATAGTGTAGTGTTATCAGTAACAATGAAGTTAATGACCTGTTAAATGATTACTGGTACTGAAAGAAAACAAATAAGGTTGCAGTTCTGTTTTTGAGGACATTTATTATCTTAAATTCATGTTTTTTTTCTTGGTGGTTTCTGCCCTGGCCGTATTGACGCCTACATGGATTGATAGATGGATAGTCCGACACTTGGCCGCTGTATTAAGCTCTTTAACACTTCATAAAGCCCTTCAAATGTACTGCTTTACGCACAAATAAATCCCTGCCGGCTTAAAGCGGCCAGTCAGATTGAATTCCTGCAATATTGACATCCGTGCGTAGCGTCAAAGTCAGGAGAGGACAACAGGAACAAAACGTTGACTCCTTAGATGGGAGATAGCATTGAGATGTTAAGGAGCTGCAATCCAACAGCACGTGGGAGGATGTAAATACAAGTGCACCTACAGATTACCATAGGAATAATTCTAGAGTGAGAACTAGTGCTTGTAAATATGTACGCCCACACAGAGCATTCAGAAAACTGTCTCCCCAAACAGCAGCCATTTGCAGGGAGGTAAATTACTCCATTATCCTGGACGGTGCCATTGATTCACACGCTTATAGCTAGTTTGTTAAGTAGTGATGACATGGTCACACCGTCAATCCGTCTCCATTTCAATCACTCAGGAGCGACACTCTTATTCAGTCCTACACCTTTCCGTTTCTCTCCTTTTCCATTCTCAGACAATCCCATTTTCATCTTTCTCTCTCGTTAGATTGACTACAGTGGCCTTAATATGCTCTCACAGGGGCTTGTAACTCTGCCCTCAGACTCATTTAGAAAAGAGGATTTTCCATAGAGAATTATGTTACAGCAGGTGGGAGGCTGATTGAGAACAAGATGGCTGATGGTCCTCGGAGAAGTGAGAGAGTGGGGGCTTCTCACAAACCCACACACACACAGACTCAATTGGAAGGCAGGAGTCTGTTTACAGAGTTAATGAAAGAGGCTCTGGCAACAAACTAAAATGAGCATTAGGGAGACTGCAGCAGAGTTGACTCTCCTTGACGACCGATGCCTCGACTGCATGTCAATATGGAGTCTTTGTCTCTCTTTCTCTCCTCTATTGCCCTTGTCTTTTGCTCTCTGCCCTTCTCTCCACGACAGTGTCTTTGTCAGAAGCAGCCAAACAAACGCCAGTGAAATAATAGAGGAGGACTTGTAAATTCCCAACAGACACTTTTTATAGTTCCTTTCCACTTGCTCTGTTGCCTGTCAAACCAGACGATGCTTCAACCAGGAGGCTTGTTTTTGATGTGGTGACGAGGGGTGTCAAGGAAGTTAAGGGCCCAATCAGGAATGAGAGTAAATCACAAGCTGTGGTGTGGTATTTCCATTAATAAGTGGCTAGCACTGTACATAGTGTGTTAGCTTCACTGCTAGTAATGTTGTCAATTAGTGCAGTTCTAATGGAGTTCATGTAGTGGGATATACAGTAGCTAATGGTAGAACACCCTTCAAAAGTGATATATGCACATTATTATTAATTTAAGGATATTCTTAATAGATCATTATAATGCTATGATCAATAGTTGGATTACATTCTAACAACTTGAGGAGGATAATCTTTGATAAAGTGCCAAGATAAGATGAGTCAGCCCTCACCAAAATAACAAAATAACTTGAATCTAATTAAAAAAAGTAATAAAAAGCAATGTAAATGCTTATGTTAGTGGAAAGAATGGGATCGATACATCCTAAAACTGTTGTTGAAAATGAAATTTCCTGAACTTGTAAAAGTGATACTGGAGTGAAATGTGAGAATATTAGCAAGACAAAACTATTCCCTCTGTTTAAATAATTGATCCGTTCAGATCAACAAAAAGGCAATCAAGGATAAAAGATAATTTCCCCCAAGCTTCAAAACTAATTATAATGTTTCTATAAATAAACTTGGTTACTGAACAAGACATCTTTCCCTTTTGCTTTAAAGGCAGCTTTTAATAGTTTATTGGCCATTATGTAAGCAATCATAAGTAGCTGGCAACATGTCTTGAAAAAGGGAACGAAGTGTGCATGTGTGGGTGTGTGTACCTTCCACAGATCAGTACATGTGGGCGAACCAGTACACATGCTCTAACATGCAGAGTCAGATCTAAATTCATTTACAATCATATCTCCGCACGCATCAAATGTGACCAAGTGCGGGCTGGTTGGTGCAAGCTTGAGGTCGGAGTTATCTAAAAACAACCTTACTTCATTGGAAGCTGGTTTTCATGTTGTTTAGTCAAAATGCCAAAACTGGTGAGTGTGTGGGAAGCTTTACGTTTGACCGCCCACAGTCTTTATATCTCAGCATCTGACTGTGCAATGGCTAGTTTCATCCTTCCAGGTGGGAACAGAGGGGGAGATGGCAGGCAAAGATTCTGCAAGCAAGAGTCTCTGATGGTAGGGACTGATTGATCTTGTTGACGGATACAACATAAAAAGCTATAACTTAGAGGAAGATAGAGAGAACTGGCGTGGACTAGGTCATAAATGTTCAGAGAAGAACAGAAGATGGAAAGTGTAAAATGACAGTCATAAAGAGCATTAGAGCATGATAGAGAAGCAGGAGAGAACGTCACTCTGATGGCAGATTTCAGTGAATATTGATGGTTTTTTGCCCTCCCACACAAACAGAGCTTTCCCTCCGCTTTAAAGAACAAATAAATCCGAGATTGAAAGAGAACAAGGCCAGAGCTGGGGGTTGGGGTGGAGGGTGGGGGGGTGTAAGTACAGCTAAGGCATACAGGTTGTTGTTCTCACAGGGGAAATTCCTTTGGTGCTCCAGTCTTTTCACTGAGGCAACAGACTAGTGACTTTGAACCTCTCTGAGCTCCACAAAAGAAAAAGAGGTCCCCTCTTTTCTTATGTTGGCAACCCGGACCCTAATTCTTTACTAACCTCCCCCCCCTACCCTACACACACATTATTTCTTGACCACTCCTCACTGAATACTATACATTAAGATGGTAGTCCTTTAAGTTTCAGTCTTCTAATTGGTCAGTCCTTGTAGCCGCCCAAACACAGCAAGACAGCATGACATAAATACTGACCCCCACATAACGGGACACCACTAATTGTGGGGTGTCTATAATACCAAAGTCTTGTTGTGATTTGTGGAGGGTAAGATATTGTTTTAGCTTGTTAACTTAGGCAGCGTGTGATGGCTGGCATAGTTTCTATACTTGATTTACTTCAGCTGAGAAAGCAGGTCGCAGTTTTCATCAACTCAAATTTAGCTGCCTGAGAGTGGATAAAGTGTGTCACTAAGTGTCCTGTGTGTTCTTGTCTTTTAGGCCATTTTGCCGGAGAGCCAGCCAAACCCGCCTCAGGGAGCAGGGGAATGGAGAACACCATGTGACCGGTCCGTGCGCCACTGTCGCCAGCATGCTTCGCCTCCTCCGGACCTTGGCTTTTTGCTTCTGGTGTTTTTTGCTACTTCACAAGCAGGCTGTGGCTGACGAAGAGGGCCTTTGGGGACCAACGGCATCAAGAAAAGACCCACCTGTTAAAAAAACAAGCTCCTACTGGTGGACCCCATCTCTGCCAAAGCTTCCTTCGATTCCCTCACTACCCAAACTACCCTCACTATCCTCACTACCCTCACTACCCTTCCATATTCCTTACTTATCCGGGAGCAGGGACAGTGAGGATGAGGCTGCTGCGCTGACCACAACCGCCAAAAGTCTGACAGAACCAATCGATCCCTCGCAAGACAACTCGGGTTCAGGCGAAGGGAGAATTCTTGAATCCTCTGATCCACCCATCACTTCCACTCAGGGGTTCCTAACTAGCGTGACACAGATAAGAACGGACTCACTTCCCACAGGGACATCAGATTCTCCACACAGCAGCATAGCGCAGAGCCACAATGACACTCTTGTTTCAGACTCCTACTCTCCCACAAGCAGTTCTATCAGAAACACTCTGTTCACCAACAGTCCCACCAGCACAAGCACTCCTGGACAAAATGCAACACATACCCACCCACCGAGGGGCACCCCACCAGCAGCAGGGCCCAGCATGGGTGCCACTACACAACACCTCCCAGAGGAACACACTGATAAAGAGGAGGCGGAAGATTTTACAGAGAAGATATATTTGACGATAGCACCAGAAACCACAGTACCTACTGTGTTGACATGGGCAGAAGTACAAACCACAACAACAACCCCAGGCATAGTGGAGACCACACTGACCAGCACACACTCTCTGAGGCATATCACTCCCGCTACATCCTCAGAAACCACGTTTGTCAGAAAACCACTAGACTCCACTGTTGGTGTTACCCTCCGTGCTGGAGAGGCCACGATGACAGAAACTCTACCCACCCAAAGTGAGGCTTACCTGGGCTTCTCTGAGACCAGGTCGGGGCCCACTGAGGACCAGCCGGGGGTAATCACCACTGCCAATGGGATCGATGACAAATTAGTGCCAGAATCCATAACAAGCACAACCCAGAGCCAAAGGGTTAACTTCTCAACAGCAGGAGGTAAGCAAAGTTAAACAAATCAATGGAGGCTGGATTGACTCTATAGATGTGATCAATCATTGGAAGGCAGGTTTTAGGTGTTCAATAGCTGGCTGTCAAAAGGCTACTAGCAGTTTGGTTCGATCAGTGACATTTCTGACATGGTGAGTGGTCAAAGGGCCGACATCAGCATGAATCTAGATCTTCTTGAAACCCTGTGAAATTACTGAGTCTAGAATCAACATTTACATGATTGTAAACAATGATTATGTGTTGGAATTTCTGTTTGCGTTGCTTGGACAGAGATTCTTAAAGGTAGAGTTTGATATGTGTTATTACTAGGAGGAGGATTTATTGGATGGATATTTGCTTAGGCTACTAATCCTGTGGGAAAACAATTTTAGCAACATAACGGCTTTCAGGAATGGAAGTTAATCCACAACATAGCAATCAAAACCATCAAAATGCATTCATCTTTTATTATATTTCCAATTCTTGCTTCCCACATACTTTGAAGTATTTATTAAAATAGTTTCCATGGCATCAAAGCCTGTTGTGCAAGGCTTCTTTGAGTGATGTGTTATTGTTCACTTAGTACAATTATTAGTGAGTCATTTGTACCGAACTGTTAACTATGAATTTAACAGTGTATGATGAGTTTTAAAGCCACAAATCCAATCCAACATTAAAACCATTACTTTAGTGAATGGAAGGAGAGGGTATTGGATTGAAATACCGCTCAATGGGGGTTTTGTTCCTCACAGAGGAGGAAAATGGGAAGATGATGATCTAAAATAGCTTCTGGTAGCCAGTAGGTTCCAGGAGTCTTTGACACGACATTGAGGCAGTACCTCTTTCTTCACGGCCCATCCCCCAGCACTGGTGGCAGTCTGGTGTCTGTATGCCTAATGAGCCTTCAGAGGAAGGGCCTCCTCCAGGTACAAACGCATCTATCATGTAGGGTCAAAGGTCAGGCAGGAAAATGATGAGTCGATTATTCTAAGCCTGAGAGATTGTGTCCATATGATAAAAGCATGATTGTTTGGAGGATGTTTACACAGAGTAGTGTCTGCAATATGTAGGGCATATTGATATTTTCTGGGTGCCTATAAATTAGCTTTTGCCACCAAATGGTCCATTTATATCAGTTCATATACATATGATCAAATCCAACAGATAGTGCCTATACAAGTACAGAAACCATAGTGCAAAAACAATAACGGACCAATACAATTCTATTAAATGAACAAGTGATCACCAAGTTTGCCATTCAAAATAAAAAACTATTATTTTCCAGTTGTAAACCCAAAACGGAATCACATATTTTCAAAGCCTATTTGTCAATATTTTAAACAACGCTTAGCTTATTGCTAGAAAATATATCTTGGTATGATCGATTTAGTAGTTCATCTGGAGCCTTCAATCATATGACAATATCTTTCTCTGCGGACAAAGTCCCTTACTCATATGCGATACGATAAAAAGCTTGAGAACAGCTAGAAAATATACATTGATGTAAGATCGTCAATTTGTGTTTCAGAGGTCAACTTTAAGACATCCGCTTTTAGAGATTTATAGATAGCGATCTATTCTTCACAATAAGTAAAGTAACATTAACAGTTCATTTGCTTTAAAAAAAAACAGGTTGGAGGGGAATCTTTTCTCCCAGTGCTGGAATGCAAGCTTTTGAGATCTCCCACTCGGCTTTACGCTGATTGTTTTAAAACTTGTGATGTTTAGTCTACCCAGTGTTGTGTCTGCACTTGTTTTCAGCTGTGCATCGTGTGGTGGCATACAGGAAAGACAAGGGGTTGGGGCTGGGTGGGGGTGGGGGGGGCTGCTGTGGCCGTGTATCAGTATTCCAAGCGCACACTCAGCGAAATCACCTCCTCTCCAGTGGGACCATCGGCTCGCCAGTCGCTGTTCATGGATGCTGAACATGCTTCTCGCCATTTAGTCTAGTCCCTCCCCGTTCCCCTCATCTGCTATTTTTTGCCTCTGTACAAACACACATCCCTGTCACTTGTTTCCCAAGGACAGATGGCTATGGCTGCTCTGAAGGGTGAAAATGTCCTGACAGGGATCTGGGAAGCTTCTAGTCAGCCATGTAGAAATGAAACCCATTAAAAAATATGGTGCATTTACACATCGTAGTAGTCTGCTTGGTGTGGTTTTTGGCTGGACTCTTACAGTGTTTAAACACTCCCACCTTGCCAAAGGACATAGGAGGAGACGATTATGAAAATGAAAGCGTGGCACCCCTGCATTACCATACATTATCCCAAAGTGAGCATTCTGTATGTGTGCTGTGATGTATTTTAAGCTGCACAGGGTGAATCACTCCCCTGCTGGAGGTGTGGAACATCTTCATCACACAAACGGGTTTTCATTGATCGAGAGGGTGTTCACCATGTGACGATGCCCTTGAGAATGCTGTCAGGTATCTAAAAAAAAAGAAAACAGCTCTGCATCGGTTTCAAATCCTCCACTAAAGGACATCTGATAGCAAGGGCAATCATGAGAGAGAGCAGAAACACAACACAGAGGCTGTTGTGATGTGGGGGCTGAACATGTAGGCTTTCTAAACCCTCGCAGAAAGCCACTGCTGTAAATTCTCTTCCAAAAAGCTTTCCTTTCTCCTGCTCCTTCTTTCCCCTCCTCCCACCCTTTTCATTACTGTATGTCGCACTAATAAGCAGCAGCCTCAACACACTCCATTAATACGTGCAAGGATGAATTGACCGGAGAGATACCAAAAACCTAAAGCACAGCCATTGATAGATAAATTGATTAAGGAAATGGATTTGCATGGAGATGCACGTGACATGAATATCTGATGCCCCAGTATGGAATTTACATGGAAAAATGGCATTAATGCTAATAGAAAGCTGGGGTGACTTTATATTATGTTAATATTCTCATAATGACTCCTTTAGCCGAGTCCATGAGTTATACAAATCTGGACGGATTTGGCCTGTTTGTTTTTCGGATTTCACATACAAATACGCAATTATAGAACAATAGGGATTATTTTTCACCTCTATTCATACTGATTTTTAAAGTCAGAGGGTGTAATGCAGTTTGAATATCCTGTATACCCCCTAGTAACTATCCTAGAACTGAACCAAATTAGCAACAGCATGATGACATTTTGTGCAAGTAGATTTTGGATGAGTCCTAATCATGTTTCTTCATCTGATTATGCGCTTCCGACTCTCTAATGTACCGCTATCCAAGCCTTTCCTCTTCTGTGTTATCACTCTAAGCTCAGGGTGTTTGCTACAGAGCCGCGCACTCTTCACAAACTCACTCGGGGCTTACTGTACGCAGATAAAGAAGAGTGTAATGGATTCCATCGTCTTCTATTGTTCCTTATTTCTGGAAGCAAAAGATAATGAGGAGCCTCTGAAAATGTAAACACTATGAATAACTACCGTGGTTAAAGGGCCTTCATTACTTCAACAATGTTGCCCACTGTGGGTGCCACTTTAAATTATAGTTTGGCAATAAGTGCGATTGAAACCTAAATTAAAAAAATAGGAACAACAGACAGAACGTGATACTCTAAGGTCATGAAGGCCATATGAAATGACGTGGTAGTTAAACTAAATCAGTAAAATGACAATTCAGCACATGTGTAATGATGAGCTGTTCAGCAAAACCTCTCTCATCTCTTTTTGCTTTTATTTACTCTGTCAGCAGGGTCTCTGTAAATAGCCAGTCATCAGAAATGTTGCTTGTGATGTGCTAAAGAGTTGATTTCCATCCATGAGTGAGTGAGCTCAGTTACTAAGTTTTGACAAACATTATCGTCTTCCAACAATGAATCAACTGAATAGCGTGATCTTGGCTTTTGTGTATATTGTGATTTGTGCGTTCTTGTGTGCAGCAAACACTGGGACTCATTCCTTAAAGGTCCCCTATTATACTATTTTTTAACAATAAATTATAGGTCTCAGATATATACAAAAAATGTCTCTTAGGTGTTTGGCTCGAAATAACAAACAGATCATTGTAGCATGCCATAATCCCCTCTGTTTCAGCCCTGTTTCTAAAGTGCAGATTCTGTATCTGTAGCTTTAAATGCAAATGAGCTGCTGCTGGCCCCGCCCCTTTGTTAAGTTATTGGTTTAAAAAAAACAACAATGGTGCTCTAGGAGGAGATTCAGGTGATAAAGTGGGCGGGTGTTACCTTGGTTGGTTATTGGCTAATGGATGCACAACTCAAAAAAGACATCACAAAGTGTCCAGAATCTGATCAGCTTATTTTCAGACTGGTTTTTATGTAGATGGATCAGGACAAAAAGAGAGAGAATCTTTGTTCCTGGAACTTTCCAAATCTCTTAACACAGAGGGGACACACATTTATGTATAAAATACATGAAAAAGTGGATTTTGCATTAGGTGACCTTTAAGAAAATGATGCTCAAACTGGTCAAAAACTCCACAGGGCACCTTTACAATTTTCAAACGAATACGAAAAGTTCTGCAAACAAACAAAACTCAAACTAGACAATCTAACTTACATTTCTTATATTTTGATATATTGTATCTGGCTCAAAATATAATATATAAAAATAATGGTTTTTCGTGAAATAAACTGTGCAGGTGTGTAGACTTCCAGCTGTTTGGAAGAGACTCTGATTTGAAAACTGTTATAAGCTAGCACTGTACCTGCTGTCCCAGGCTTCATCACTGAGTCAGCTCTTCCCATCAGATTTACTCACTGAACATCTCATCGTATCCAACATTCATTTATAACTGTTGTAAAACACACAAAGGCTGTACAGAGTGCTGTCTGTGAACATATATTTAGCGAGGGAACCAAAGGGGAAAAGAGAGAGTCTTTTAGCCATTACTTTATGATTCTATCTGTCTCTCTCTGTGATCTTTACGAGGCAGGTCTGGGATCTGGATTTGTGATGGAGCAGGACGTACACACACACACACACACACACACACACACACACACACACACACACACACACACACACACACACACACACACACACACACACACACAAACATGCACGCACACATCAGGATGTCAATGTAATTAGACTACAGAGGGCCAGACTACTGTGCTATGGATGACTGGCTACAACTAAGTGGGCAATAGGCCGATCCATTTGACAGAACTGGGTTAAGAAATGTAGTCCTTCCGTGTTCTGCGGTGTGAAATCTCAGACTTGCTGTGAGCAGAGAACGTAGAGGGTTTACATTTTCTTTTGGCAAACTGAAATTTGCTAATCCGCTTTAGGACTACTTAGAGCTACAGTAGTGTGTCCTTTAAATAGCACAGGCTTCGAGATCGCTCATAGGTTAAATTGCATTTGTTTTCCCAGAGCTGCCAGGCAAGAAGGATAAGGAGGATGAGGAAGGTGTGGTTCCTTCAGCAGACTGGGATGGTGACACAACATTGGCAGACGTTTCCACGCCATACGCTAAGCTGCTAACAACTTCCCCGCCACAAAGCACAGGTGAGCGAACAAATCCCCTGAGATGTAAACAAAGACTTAATCCAAAATGTGTTTGCACTGCCATACTGTTAGGAGGCAGTGGTACAAAGACTGCAGGCTGTTTGTTTTATAGGCTGTCCTGTAGATGTTTCAATATCTGTCAATCTGTCAGAGGACTGAAAGAAACAATTACCCTGCATCTTTTGCCTGAAGCCACTAATTACTTCCAACGGGAGGAGAAAACTGCTCATTCAAGCTGTGAGATCCCCTGAGAACAGAAGAGATAGGGAACTATGCCCACAAAAATGTATTTTCCATGAATAATCATTGATCTGGTGACAATAGCTGACTGAAAAAAGTAAAAAAGTATTGATTTAGCGCTGGCCAATGACAGTAGAGAGCTTCAAAATGAAGAGTTGCTGCAATAGTCAGTTTCAATAAATAAAGTATAATTTATTCTGTTTTGGAATCTATTCATTATGGCAGGGTGACAAATTGATCTTATTATAGATGTGTGATTTATTACTGGGTTAGAGATCAAACATACATAAACATTAGGCTGAAATATTATTATATATCCAGACAAAATCATGGAAAGATTCAATATTTTCATTAGTGAGTGCATTTTCAGCCACCTGGAAGTTGTACTACAGTAAGCCTGTAAAACGTCTTAGAAACATATAGTTCCACTTTCATAAATAGCTCACTAATTTACTACGATAAAAAAAAGTGTTCTAATTTAAGTAAACAGGGCATTTGTTAGGGACTATTTTCAGGAGCGGAGTGATATATGACTTGCACTCTTGTTGATGTATTGTATGTTGGATTGGCTCAAAAGAAACTGTTGTTATTATTTCTGGGCAACAATAATTGGAGGTCTACCCTAACTCCCCTTTGCTCTAATTACACAAAAAGGTTCTCATAATCCCACTGGAAAAATGTGGTATGCTCTCAAATGTCAAATCCCATGTAGATTAGTCCATCATAATGAATTTGACTTCCACTCAACTATGTTTATTAAAATATCTACTTTCAGCCTAGTTCGCAGGAGCAGATGTAACCCACATTACGTTGCCCAGAATAGCAGATGTAATCAAGTGACTTTCAAAAATAGACCTGTCAAATGTGCCACTCGCTAATGACGGGGCGCTACGGGGCTCTGGGTGCTTCACAAGTGAGTGAGTGAAACAATAATGTTAGCAGTCAGCCATTTCAATGTGTCCTGCCTGAAGCTAATATCTGTTGTTGATAACATTAAAGGTGGGGTAGGTAAGTTTGAGAAACCGGCTCGAGATACACTTTTTGTTATATTCCATGGAATGCTCTTAACATCCCGATAGCAATGAATATCTTAAGTGCTTTGACAAAAAATCCATAAAAAAATGTCATCTGTGGAAGCCGTAGTGCTGTAAAAAGCACGACCAATCATTTTAGCCGGCCCGGGTAAAATAACTGGATGGCCTACCTGCCTGTCAGCCTTCCATCGGGGCACAAACTTATCTCGTGCCCTCATTGGTCATGTGCACGTTCGTGTGTGTTGGAGGAGGGGCTCTATAAGGAAGTGGCAGATTTTCTCAGGTTGTGTATTTTCAAATTCTAGCGATCTCGAGCCAGTTTCTCAAACTTACCTACCCTACCTTTAAGCACATGACCAAATGTACAGTTATCCTACCACCCTCCCATTTGGCATAACAGACCAAAAGCAGGTGATTCAGCTTTTACTCAAAGAGTTAAGAAAGCAGATGAACCCCCAACCTCATGTGTCCAAACCCACACAACTGGCTCCTACTCAGTATTCATGAACTTCTTCATTAGCTCCTACTAAATAGCTTTTTCTAATGTGAGCCAAATTGAAAATGAAGGCAATCGGTTAAAACCTACATGTGGCTCTCAGTTTCACTCCGCAGAATCAACACGCAGCCAATTAAAAATGAGTGCGTGAGGTTGTTACCAATTTAACATCAGAAGAATCCTTCACCTTTATTACCTCGGCTGGTCTACTGATTAAGGTTCCTTACATGAGACCTTTTGAAAATGACTAGCATCTGGTTGTGTAATGTGTGCATGCTCGCTTTCAGATGTATCTTTTATATCGTGTGCTGTTGAGCTGTAATTATTGAGTAAATCACCTTAAGACAGCTCTAGGATCTTCTTTAGATCTATCCCGACTAATATATCAAATGTTCATCGTAATCTTTACTTATTAGCTGCAGCCCTTATGAAAGAAGGACTAAAAGTGAAATATTGCCATGTTGATCATATGAAACCTTGATGTATGATGTAGAGCCATGCTATTGTAGACTAGCTTGCCAGGGATGGCAACCCCGAGAGTAGGTCTTTCAACCACAAACAATTGCATGGGTTCACACAAAATGCTAATGATACTAGCTTCAAGACACGCATTGCAATTTCTTTATGCGCCGTAATCATCTCAAAATGTGATTTCTCCAAAACTGTAGTTTAAGACCAAATACTTTAAAATGACTTATTACCTTTCTATCATTCTTGGCTGTACTCTGTGTTTTGTGGTACTTTCTGTTAGCATGCACTATAAACACTATACCTGCTAAACATCCCCCTTAAATGCTAACGCTATCATGGCTCAACGTACTGTTTTTACTAGATGCAGCTTCACTCTCTTTTAACTCTGCTTTTGGTCTACCATCCTAACTGCTGAGGGAAATACCTGGTTATTTATCTGCTAAACGCACCACTATGTTCACTAGCCACATTTGCTAATTGTCTGCCATTTGTTGCTGATAAGGTAAGATAGACTCAGTGGAACTAAGATTCCAAGCCTTAAAAGATAACATTTAGACTTTTTTACGAGTTCAAATGACATCTCAGTTTGTCCTCAGGCACTTTGCTTTCAGGCTGTGTTTCTCCTGTAATGTGTGCGCTATCCCTCGCATGGGATACTTGTTACCACAGGAATGTGTCAGATGACCGAGCAGCATGCAGTGGAACGTAACACTCTGATCCGCGTACTGTAGTGACCACATACCAAACCCCGTCCAGGCTGCTCGGCCAGCCCCGCATGCTCAGATGTGACATTTATCGACATGAGCGAGGCAACAAAACTTGGCACTAATTCAATACCCGTCACGTTTTCCACTTGGCCAGGCTGGCTTGCAAATCATCACTATCGCCCTGGAAAGTAAACAAACAGACGAATGAGTCAACCACTGAACCCATCCTACTTTATCAGTGGCCCCCACATTCGCAGTCCTCTCAGCTGTGTGTTTGTGTTACACCTCAGCCCCATTTCCCACACTGCAGCTGTCTGTTTTGATGGGATGACATTGTCAGTGCACTCATACAGTGCAGGTTTATTTGAGCACTGACATATTTAATGCCCTCATTTAAAGCTGCTAATGTCATAACTTTCAACAAGCTTAAAAATAGCTTCTAATTTTCTCAACATGACACCGGAGTATCACTGACATGGCTTTCAGGCAGTCTGTATGAAGTCAATATGCAGTGGCCACATTATTACATCAGTGAGTAAAACGTGCTGTTATCAATGATTCATCTATTGGTTAGTGGCCATACAAGCGGCAAGGCACTAGGTATGACAATGTCGGTCAGTGATGGATTTGAAATATCTTCTGGATAGATTATGACTAAATTGGACATTCATGCTCACCAGATGAATAACTTTGGTGATCCCCTGCTTTCCTGCTAGTGCTAATGTGATGTTGACATTTGGAGTTTGTCCTTACATTTCCATAGCTATATTATAAAATATATATTATACATATTGATACATATATGTCAATATTAATGTTGGCATTGTCAAAAACATGTTACCATGCTGGCATTAGCATTTAGCTTGAACAGAATTAGGGATCTGCTAGCATAGCTTTAGACTGAAAGATCATTATGACAATGATACACAAGCAAGCTATCTCAAAAGCATTTCACTGTTGCTAATGATTATTCAGCAGGGTTCAATTAAAAAAACAGCCCATCAATGCATAACCAAAGAAACTCAAAAACTCATCCATCCTTGTTTCTTCATTTAGCTTCCAACGACAGCTCAGGATGTTTAAAATATATCTGCTGTGCTGCTACAGTTTAAGACCCATCAGCAGCTGGAAGTGAATTTATCAAGCTTGATGTTTTTATCACAACCTGGGAGAGTGACTCAGCTCAGATGGTTAGGAGACGAATGAGGGAAACATTATAAAGGCTTTCTTACTGTATCAACAGGCAGACAGCAGACAATGCCAGTGCTAAAGCTAATGCTAAAGCACTTGTCAAAATCATCTTCCCCTCTTCAGGATCTGTGGCCGGAAAAGAGCAATGCTTTGTTCACTTGGGTACTTGAGTATAGCAAATGTCAACATTGAACAGGCATGCAAACGCACCGGTAGACACTCCGATATGAGTGCACACAGACACAAATGTACAAGAAACAATTACATGAAACAAAAGTGAAGGGGCTTTATGTTGTTTGAATCATTTACAGTGATGTAAAGTGCTTAAAGCAGGCACCAACCATTTCGCCCCCCTCCCTATAGAACTGCAAAACTACACATGTTAGATTTAATGGATGCAGCAGCTGCCATCGTTTGATCTATAGAATTGGAGGAAAAAGCAGCAAAAGCAGAATAACTAAAGCATGAGAAGAGACTTCATCAGGGCAGTCTACAAGAGTGAAAAACTGTCCGTGCTTAAAAATAACAAACCCACCTATGGGAGTTTTCCCTTTTGAGGCGGCTGTTCAAGGGAAATCATAAACAAAAGAGCAAATTAGGGAACCCGGATAGGGTGGGATGGGAAATACAAGAATATATCTCAGAAAAGTACATTAAAGGACAGAGGAGAAAGACTTAAAACAAAACTCTAAACCACAGAGATCCCACTTTCAGATTTATTTAGGAAATGAATTAGACATCCTCAATCTATACATCAAGATTAAGGGGTTTCTGCGGTGCTGATGTCTGCACATTTAAGTTCTTTAACTGGCACATAACGTTACCACTGGATATAATCTATTCCCCAGGCATTGCGGGACATATTTATACCCCTTGAAAACCCTAAGAGCTGAAGAAATGTCTTTATCTCATACACATTACAGCAAAATACGTATTAATGTACAATCTGCCTGCTGTGTGATTTACTGTGCTGTCAGTTTATCAAGTTCATTTGTCCCCATCTCTTTGGTACATAGCATCTGGCTCTTTATGGAGAAGTGATTGCCTCTGATCTGCAGCAAAATGACTGATGAGCCTGTGTAGGTGCAGATGAAGGATGTAAAGTTAGAATCTGCATTTCATTGCCTTTTTGAAAAGAGCCATTATTAGACATATTCTTTTCAGTAGTTAAAAGAAATCTTGTTTGTGTTGACGGTGATGTTTTATGGAAAAGAACAAGGGCTATGATGTGAAACTCAGTGTAAGGAGACTAGGAGGCTACATTGTTTTGCTCTTTTTGCCCATCTGTGAAGCATTATGCTGTGTGAAGTGACTTGTGCTATATCCTATGCAAGTCGTCCTCCAGTAATTGAACTACAAAAACAAGTACGGCTCAGATGAGCTTCGCAGGCGTCTCTTTAATGTTCACGCAAACACATATTCACATGGTTACCCCTTAATTTCCAAAGCTAAACCATTTCCTTTGCAGTGCAACAACATGTCTAACACAATCATAATTAGCTGTACGCATGGAAACTCCAGATGGCTGACGTAATGCAAGAGAAACAAGCTCTGTGGTTCTGAGTGGGCTGTTCTCTTACACACTCACACACACAGTTTGAAGTTGCCTTTCTACAAGCCTCTAAACAGGATTAGCACATTAGGAGGAAAGCACACTTTCACCATCTTGGATCTGAGCCAACTTGTTCTCTGACTAAGATAGTTTGAATGTTGATTAAATGCTTCTGTGTAATCTCATGAGTGGACGATTAAAATGCTTTTAAGTGAATTAAATGATGTAGATGTTTTAAGCTGCTAGCATTTTGAAGATTTGGGATTTCTCTATATAATTACTCATTCAAGTATTACATGTGCTTATCCATCCAGCTATTTAAAAGTCATTTGATAAATACATTTCTACTTTATTTTTCCCTAGAAACTCCAACTATTACTCTGGACACGGAAGACTGGATGTCCAACGAGGGGTACAGTGACACCACCCTTCTTCCAGACTGCAATCAAGAGCGCTCCGGGATCTGCAACCTCTCCGACTGGGACTTCACAACCTCCTCGGACATCAAACCAACACAAAACACCACTGTCACCAACCAAACTGACGAACCCTTCCTGATCCCAGCTCCACCAATGTTGGTGCCGCTGTACACCGACTGGAACAGTGCCATGGCAGCTTGGGGCCTGGCCTGGGATGTGCATGTTTACGGTGCTGGCTGCATCTTTGCAATGCTAACGCTGGCCTGTGCACTCAATCTGCTCTGCTTGCCACTACGATGCCCATCCGGATGTGGTTACTTTGCCCTGGTTAGCTTGTTTCTACTAGCTGCTGGTTGCACAAGATCTTTCTCGCTCCTTTACGATGCCTATGGCCACCAGGACCGCCTACCCTCCACAGAGGCGTCACTAATACTCTACGAAGCACCGTTTCCCTGTTTAACAGCGGCCTTCGGTCTGGTTTTCCTTCTCCTATCCATGCGCTCGAGAATGCAGCTCTCGTACTCAGCTTTCCAGAGACCCTGTTTCCTGGCCTGCCTGGTTGTCCTGCACTTTGGTGCCGCATTTGGACCAGTGACCTTCCTGAAGTTCTACACTCAAAAGCCTCCCCATTGCCTCTTTCTTGCACTTATCTCCCGTGGAGCCTTTGTAGCACTGGCTTCATTTCTATCTGTTGCCTATTTTGTGTTCTACATCTACGTGCGGGCAGATTCGAAACACATCTACCACCTGAATAACACATCTCCAACGCCCGCTGAGCGCTACAACCGCTGCCCTTTTGCTGAGAGCCGGGACTGGAATCGTGCAGCTGTAACTGTCTGTATGTCAGCATTGTTTTGTTTAGCTTGTGCAGGACTGCAGTTATTTGCAATGCTCAATGCTATGGGTGTTGTAGGGGGAGAGGAGGTCTTTCACCCTTGGCCATGGTGGACTTTTCAGTTTAGCTGCAGACTGTGTGAGCTCGGGGTTTGTCTCACCTTGGCCTTGGTGGTTGCACAACCAGTCTACTGTTCTGACCACCTCCCAGCTGCCGGGAGCTGCTGGACTGAACTGTTGGCATCAAAGTCGCCCATCATGCCTGGGAGCTACCAGTGGACCCTGAGCCAGCAGGAGAAGCTTGCAATTGTCGATACCATGGGGCTTGGAGAGATAGAGAGCCTTCCTCTTTACACCCTGGTGGATGAGAGGCTTGGTAGCAGTATGAACGGCCTGGACCTTCTCTACCACAGCAACCGGGCCTTGGCCTACCGAGACCTGGACTTGGATTTGGACTTCAAGGGTTCAGGGACTCCTGCAAACGGAGGAGGCAGAGATCCCTCGGGTGGATCCTCGTTTACCAGTGACTCCACCACAGACCTGCGACCGCCTTCGCCAATCAACCTGCGTCGCAGCATAGACGAGGCACTTTTCAATGAGGCCCTCTTTCCTATGAGCCTCTTCAGCCCTACTCGCAGCAGTGATCTATCAATAAACAACCACTGTTCACTTCTAAGCAAAGGGCTTTGTGATCCTCTCTCAGCTGACCCTGGCCTTTATCGGACCACTTCCTGCGTGGAGATGCCTTCTCAACACTTGCCCTCTTGCGCCCAATCTCAAGGAGACACTCTCGTAGGTGCTCCACCATCTCCCTCCCTGTCCTCATCCACGAGCAGTTCCTCTCCTGAACGTTGGAGGGGCAGCTCATCCTCTTATTCCCCCTACCGTGAATCTTTCGGAGGCTCCTCGCTGGTCCTCTGCCCGAGCTCTGAGAGACATGCTCAGCAGATTCTGCAGCAAGGGGGTTTAGGCCACGGGGCATCCTCTGGCCACCAGGGCCACTCTGACCCACTGAGGCACTACCAAACACTCGGCGCTGCCTCACAGGAGAGCCTGGACCTGGACGTGTCGTCTGAGGCAGACCGATCCGTTCAAGAGGAGTTCATCAGTGTTTGCAGACAAATCGATTCTTACAGCATCTGCAGCGAGACTATCGATTTGTAAAAGGACAGTCTGGTCAAACGGGTTCCACAGAAGACTCACTAAGAAGGACTTTAGTAGGGTGACTGTAAAGGAAACCTATTTGGTAGTGCATGGTAGCTTTTCCATACGCCATAGACCAATAGCTGCCAAATTTACATTTTTGGATGTTTGATGAACTTTCTTATGTGGTCATTAGTGAATGTCTTTAAGGGTCTAAGTGCCAAGAATGTCAAAAGCCAAAAGGTAATTTGTAACTTTTTCATGTTTGATACAGTCAGAACAATAGTTACATTTACTGAGAGAAGATAAGAATTTATTTGTACAAATGTCTTTATTGCATTCCAACATTCCAATAGATAGTACTGTGACTAAAACTAAGCACTTATTAAACACTACTGAAGTCATATGCTTTCATATTAAGCTGAATATCATTGTCATTAAATCTAATGTTAAATAATTGGAATAAGAGTTACGTTTCTATAAATGCTCCGTACCAATATATGCTACATCTTATTTGCAGCTCTAATACAGCAGTGCCCTCTACTGGTAAAACCTACACCATGTTACCTTATCCTACATGTATCACTAATGGACTGTGCTTCTACATACACTGACAGCATCTTCTTTGGACCGGCTAACTAATTTATTTATGTTCAAACATAACTTTGCTCGGCACATTGTTTAATAAAGTTTGTTTTATAACATTTGGTTTATTTTCCTTAAGGTGCAGAGACATCCAGCAGTGTGACTGCAGCACATGTTCAATAAGCAGGGATGCAAACTCATCAGGTATGAAAAAGGTGACAAGGATCCGAGCCCCCCGACCCCACGGAATATCGGCTTTAAAATGAGGAATAACAGAGGATTTTAGCAGTCAGAACAACTAAAGCAGCAGTTAATAATAACAGAAACGCCAAAGAGTCACATCTAATAGAAATATATTTAAGCATTTATTTTAATTGTGGAGCAGTCAGTTTATAATTTTGGCAGGACTGTTGAGCATTTTGAAAATGTATTTTCATGCCTCTGTGCAAGGCTGTCTTTCTATCTTTATAGCCAGTGGTGTAAAGTAACTAAGTTCATAAACTCAAGTACTATACTTGGGTACAATTTTTAGATACTTGTACTTTATTTAAGTATTTCAATGTTTTGCTACTTTGTTCTTCTTCTCCTCTACAGTTCAGAGGTAAATGGTGTACTTTTACTCTACTACATGTATTGAATACCTTTAGTTACTTCACAGATGTGGATGAATGATGTGAAATATAATCAAGTGTTAAATCAGACTTTAGTTCCACCTGGAGTAAATTCACAAGCTACCCTGCAGTATACAAAGTCATTCAAACTAGCTGCACCTTTACCAGCTTTGAGAACACTTTCATGATCAATCATTATAAAACATATCATATATATTATTCTGAAATGGACCAATCTGCACAGACTACTTTTGCTGTTGCTACTTTAACTATATTTTGATGATAATACTTTTCTACTTTTACTTGAGGAACATTTTGAATGCAGGACTTTTACTGTAACAGAGTATTCCTACACTCTGGTACTTCTACTTTTACTCAAGTACAAGATCTGAGTACTTCTACTTTTACTCAAGAACAAGATCTGAGTACTTCTACTTGTACTCAAGTACAAGACCTGAGTACTTCAACTTTTACTCAAGAACAAGATCTGAGTACTTCTACTTTTACTCAAGTACAAGATACTTATACCACCTCCGTTTATAGGCTATGAAAGATACTATTTGAAAACGAAGGCTAAAGCTAACGTTAGCAGATAGTGACAATGTATGCTAGTTAGCTAGCTCAACGATTCATTAAATAATATTGCGACAAACACTTTTCAGTGCACATCAGGCTCTGCTGCTCCGAACACCCCGTTCTAACCAGCGGTCCAGTCTGTGCCACAGTGACTCCGGACCGCACAGTTAATATTAACGAACGCACCGTAGGTAATGTAGCTGCTGAAGCTAGACCCTCATCCCGGAGCAGCAGAGCCTTATTATACATCCATGAGCAGAGCTGACAGGCAGGAAGACTTGTGCTCGCGCTTCATTATAATATATAAAAAAGAACACCATGCGTGTCATGATGGCACATAACAGCTCGCGGCCGCAGATTACTCCGGGTCCCAGACCCCCCCCCCCATACCCCAAAAATATTTGTATTGCAGATCTACATGAATCACACAAACGACCTATTTTGGAATCAAAACGGCGAATTTCGCCGAAAGGTGACAAGTTTGCATCCCTGAATAAGACAATAATCCATACACAGTTTGTTTATTTATTATTTTTGTATCATATTGAAAGCAACAGCAACTTTCTTTTGTGTGTTATACTGTAAACATGTTCCAAAGTGATATTCCTCAGGAACCCATTATGGATTTGTTGCATTTTGAGTATTTTCCATCCATCTAAAAAGTATTACTTATTGTTTTGGTTGTTGGTTGCAGAAGCTCCTGTAGCTTCTTTGCAATATATTGAAGCTGAAATCATACAAAAGTGCAACACTACAAAAAAAGTACTTTTTAGATGGACTCACAGGACTCAGTACAAACATGACATTTAAAAAACCTGAACTATCTCTTTAGATGGGGAAACTGAAAACAAGCAGCAGTCATTTCCAACTGGATATAGGTATATGTTTCTCCATATATTTAAATTGTACAATGTGTTTGCAATTTAGGCAAATTGCAAGGCTTTTGTTAGTCAAGGGGACCCTGTGCAGGGTAAGGTACATTAGTATGTTAAAGAAAGCACATCAGCTCCTACAATATGGGACATTTTATTTAAAAAAAAAAAAACATCTGGCCAAAAGGACATCCAGAATGGGAATGTTAGAAAAGCCTACGCCTACATAAGCTGAATGAGAACAAACGAAGCAATGCTGTTTCAAAGTAAGAAAAAGAGGCAAGAGGAAGGGTAGCATTAAGCTTTTTCACTGAGCTGTCGTGCAGCCTGTATCCATCCCTGTTTCAAGGTATATCTCCGGTAAAAAGAAAAAAAAATACATCAGAAACAAAGTAACCCTGCCACTGAGAACGTATGCCACATTGTGAGAACTGAGGAATGAACAACTGACAAGGTAACGAGCGACTTCTCGTGCCAATTTTGGTTTTGAATTTACAAAAGGAAAGTGTCAAAGGAAGTGTAAAGACACTTGGCAGTATGTATGTCATTACAATAAAGCAGAATATAAATACAGCCATGTTTGGCTTAGTGAAAAAACAAACATGCATATCAAAAACATTTCATGCTCAATTCAAAGCCCCCCAAGACTATACAGGTTTAATATAAAGCTTCTTTAATCTAAAAGTATTCAAATTAGAGTATATGAACAATTTTTGATTGATTTATACGTTTTAGGTTCTTTCAAACATACCTGATCTTTAGCCTTTTGGTCCCTTCCATGCTCAACATATGAGCAATGTGCATGGAGATGGGACACTGATTATTAGTCAAGAGGTTGTTGAGGGGGAAATTAATGTCCAGACTGTGGGTCTGGGTTTTGGCTTTTGATTGTAGGGGACAATGGAGGATAAAGTCAACAGGATAATCTGCGCAGCTTATGGCTCGTACCTCGGGATCCACAAAACAGGAAGTAAACAATATGCAATGAATCAAAAGCAGCTACTGTACGTTAAGTAGCTTTTACATTTAATGACTTAAAAATGCACAAAAAAAGAATTAAGATTGCCATGATGCACTGACACTACACATAGAAAGTGTTTTGCCTTGTTTTTCCGCATGTACTTGTGTGCTAAGAGCTATGATGTGAGGCTTCAGAGGGAGGAGCGTGCTGGGAAGCGTGGATCCCAAAAAAGCCAGATAAGATGCTGATGTGATTTGCAAAATGGCTGTTGTAGACTCAATAATAATAATAATAATAATAATAATAATAATAATAATAATAATAGGACAAATAAACGCAGTGCACCTTCACTTTCTTTGTCCCAAGACACATTTTAAACTATGACGCAGTCAGACACGCACCTTAATCCACCAAACCCACACGCAGTTCCTTCTCTCACCGCCATGAAGACACAAAACACGCTAAAATGGGATCAGCCACATACTCAAGATACAGGTGTGTACGTGATTCCCAAAAACTCCGATGTGCCACTTCTTGAGTGCAAAATCCCAGGTGTTCGGAAAGTCGGGTTTCAGTTTGAAGGTTCTCATTTTGCTACTGTGCCTCTTTCCTCCCAAAAACAGCTTGTTGGACTCAAGAGAGAGTAACGGTGGATAGTACGGAGGAGAGGGCAGAGAGGGTGTAGTGGGAGGTGCGTATTTGAACAGAAGTGGCAATTTAACATTTGGTCACTGTTAGATTGGTTGTGTCAGGTGCCCCGATGATCTGCATTCCATCCCCCCGCTCAGTAAAGCCGCTTCTCGTAACTGTAGAGGCAGAGAAAAATCGTGGAGAAGTTAGCGCTTGCTTGATTATAAATGTTAAGTATTTCCGCTACATGTCCACTAACTGCGTTTATTCAGCAACCTAGTTTAACATGTTTTCTGAATGCTTTCGGCATAAAACTGCTAAATCTGCATTTGCACAAAAGTAATGGACGTGTGAAAACAAAGTCTGGGGACACAAAGCAAGATTTGGTGTAACAAAAGAGAAGCTTGCTTTTGTGCTTTTAAATCAAGTTTGCTGCTAGTAAAGTTAATAGCAATGGAATTGAAAATGCCAACACTCCCTGTTGCATTGCCCCATGTTTTCTTGTAACTCAGGGGGGCTATATTTTCTTTTTGCAGCACAACACCTTACAGACAGTTGAGTCATTTTGTAGGCAAGCGGTTTCTTAGCAATGTAATAAAGAAATAATCTATGAGAGATGACAAGGGAATCACAGTTTAGAGCTCCCATTCCTGCTTCTTGGACAGATTACATCTGCCTTCATAGTAGCAACAGCTTCTACAATTCGTTTTTGCTTTATTTGTAACGGGGAACAACAATTGAATAATGCAGATGATAATAATAACGTTAATGATAATAACCTTAAAATGTAAGATTTATTTTTGCATGATCCCGCCAGTGAAACAAAACAGATGTACTTAACCTAGGTCTACTAGTGTACGATTTAACACAGAAAATCATGTTATTGTGTGTTTTGTACTTACGAGTGGAGTCCATGAACTCCTCCCTCCACCTGTGCAGACATGGTCCTTTTTTCGAACTTCAGCTCCCCAGAGTACATCATGGAACTGAGAAAGAAAGATAGTAAGACACCATGGACAAAAACATGTTAAAGCTTCCATATTATAAGCAGAAATTCCAGCTAGCTACTCACCGGAGAACAGAAAGACTCTTTGCCCCGATGTCCTGGCAGCCGTGCTGGATCCCAGCTATCAGGTAGGGTACAAACTTGTGGATGGAGCCCTTGTCTTGGACCGACCCTGACACCCCCTGGGCCACCTTCACATTGTCACCCTCACTGTGGAAGCACATCAATCAATATTCCTCCATTGTCACCACAGCATGGGAAAAGCTTTCACTACTTTTAGCCTCCACATACCTAAAATAGCGTTTCTGGCTGCTGGTGCTCTTCTCCATAGCGTCCAGGGAGCCCATGCCACGGTACTTTTTCAGCCGCACACCGTCAGAGAAGAAGTACTCCCCTGGAGCCTCAGTAGTCGCCGCTAGCAACGAGCCCATCATCACTGGAGTGGGAGACAGGAGAGAATTATCGGTCTGATTACACAACCTAATCATTGCTGCAGTGATAAACCACTTCGTTGCTATGAAGACTGGATGTTTCAAAGATCAACACGAATAGATGAGGCCTTTTTATCCCACACGGTTACAACACTCCATGTCAAAATGGTTCAGGTCTCACCAGTGGACGCTCCGAGAGACAGAGCCTTCACCACATGGCCCACAGTCTGAATACCCCCGTCAGCGATGACTGGCACCCCGAACCGCCTGGCGTACTCTGCCACCTTGTACACCGAGGTCCCCTGAGGCCGCCCGCACGCCATGACTAGAAGGTAGGGAACAGATTTGATATGAGTGCCATGGCAACAGATCAGGAAAAAAACAAGCACATTTTTGGGGAAAAGAGATCAGAATCTAAAATTAAATGTAGCAGTTAAAGCAATGTAACTGGTGACTAAGAGTTATTTCAGGTGAAGCACGTATTTTCTATTCTTGTTGGTGAACGTGACCCAGTTTGAGCAGGAGAGGCCTGTCCCCATGGCAACCCAGAATGGGGCCTTGCTAGATCACCATGACAACTAGGAAGATATTCTTTACTGTTAGCAACAGATAGCCTTTTCTCCTCACTGCAGCTCATAGCCAGATTAATAAACGGTACAGCAAGGATTCATTTTCTACATTTTGAAATATGCGATTCCTTATCTCAATTCTTCTTCTTTAGTTCATACAATAACAGTTCATTTTAAATAAAGAACAAGGGCCGCTGACCTTCCTGTGTGATGCAGATGGAGCCGCAGCCCATGCCGACTCTCAGAGCATCGACACCAGCATCGATCAAATTCTTGGCCTGGGCTGCTGTAACCACTGAAGAAGAAAGAAAAATTGTCAGTAAATGTGCACCAAGAAGCTCAGCAATTCAGTGAGTTCTATGTGTACAAATCAGAGTCTTCTGAATAAAATAATGTCTGTATAGGAGCAATAAAGACACAAACTCACCATTTCCTCCCACTACTTGCAATTCTGGATGCTTCTGTTTAATATAACTTATCATGTTGATTTGATACACAGAGTTGCCTTGTGAAGAGTCCTGGAGAAGCAAAACATTCATGGTTTAAACACAAGGACGTTAGATTAGATTATTCAAATGTCTCACACAGATAAGACAGGCTAAGGAATGCATACAGTGTGGATATCACTGTAGATGCATAATTCCCAGACAGACAAAATGTTGCTTATACTTACTGTAAATATTGATAATACCTATACATGAGTGAATCAGTTGATCAAAAACAGGTATTGTTATGCAACATCTGCTCAAACAATAATCTAACATTGCTCGAAGCCTTCTTACACACAAATACCTAGTAGTAGGAAATACATTAACCACATTTCAACCATTAAAACACCCACCAGAACAACCACATCCACTCCGGCCTGCACCAACAGGTCCAGTCTGTACTTGTCGTCCTCCCTGGTGCCGATGGCGGCTCCACACAGCAGCTGTTTGCGTGGGTCTTTGGAGGCCAGCGGGTAGTCTCTGTTCTTCTTCAGATCTGTCCTGGCAATAATGGCCACCAGCTCGTCATTGTTATTTACGATGGGAAGCTTGCCTGGTAACAAAGAAAATTAGGTTATTAAATGTCATGATAGTGAAAAGCTGCCGTCGCACACACATGCACTTTTATTCACCTTTTTTACTGCGCTGCAGGATATCATTGGCCTCCTTCAGAGTAACACCGGCTGGGGCCACTGTCAACTCATCCCTCTTTGTCATGGCCTTGGGAATGTTTGATAAGAAACAATCAATAAAGTGAAACCTTTTTAAACGTATGGATGTACATAAGTTGGTTTGTTATTTTATTGAATACACACCTCTTCCAGAGACTTGCCGTGGTCTTTCTCAGAGAGGAAGTCGATATCTCGGGAGGTGACGATGCCCACCAGTTTGCTGCCCATTTTGCCCGTCTCTGTAACAGGAATACCAGAGAAGCCATGTCTAACTTTGGCCTCAAACACATCCCCCACTGTGTGGCGCGGACTCATCACCACTGGGTCTGTGATAAAACCCTGTTCAAACCTCTGGAAAACCAAGAGAGAATAAACAGAATTATAATCCATATTATTTTCCCTTACATTGTGCAAAGCAGCGCAAAACACCACACACACAATACAAACTAAAAAGAAAACAAAAGTAGCAAAACAAAGACAAACAATTACCATAACCTATACAGGGACAGTACAAGAAAACAAGAATGGTCAGAGGAATGGTTCATATGAAAGTAAAAAAAAAAAAGGTTTTATTAAAGTACTTTTACTTAATTTAGTCAGTATACATATTTGAATTAGTACCAAATGGTGATGACGACAAGAAAATATATTATACAACATAAACTACAAATAATATTTAAGAAAAAATCATTTTGACATGAAGGATAATCATAGTTTACCTTGACCTTGCGGACCTCATTGGCTTGGAATTCTGGTGTGCAGTTATGGTGAATCATGCCAATGCCTCCCATTAGCTACAAAATAAATGCAAATATATATTTGAATTAATTTCTGAATAAAATAAAGCAATACATTTAAATCTGGGCTAAATATTTTAGCTGATGTGGGACAAGCAGTCTCTTACCGCCATAGCGATAGCCATAGCTGACTCTGTAACAGTGTCCATGGGGGAGGAGATGAGAGGAGTCTTTAATGTGATCTTCCTGGTCAGCGCTGATGTCAGGTCCTGAGAGACAAAAAACAGAGAGAACATGCATTTTATTGTCTTAGCAAGGAGTTTTTGGTCATGTTTGGCATGTTAACCACCAGGGGGCAGACTTTACTCACAGACTCAATATCATGTACAATTGTGTCTTGAGGTGGTTATACATAACTCTGTTTTGGGTGACAGTTAAGGTCATGGATGCAAGTAAGGCCAATTCAAGCAAACTTTAAAACAATATGCAAGTTAGAGCGTACAGAATGTAAGCTTTAGTGTCTCATTAGGTTGTGAGCTAAATCAATTGTGTGGGTCATAGAAAACACAGTCCTTCCTCTCAGAGACAGAAACCTGGCTAAGCGTGGAAAAATGAGCCACTCTTGTATCTCAGTCACATTTAACATCAACATCTTACAGACTCCCACAACAGCCAACACCGGTTTTTGCTATCTTCAACTGTGTGAAAAGAATTCCTTGCACATGGGAATGACTTCTGTGGTGTCCAAGCTTTTCGTCCTTATCTGTGGCCGACATAAACTAGGGAGGCTTTTTTCAGGGGTTCATGGACACGGCAGAGGAATTACCTAACACCACATGTCCATTAACGAGTGCACCAACCTGCTAAATTCAACCGAGAGTTAGGAAAACATCTTTAGAACATCATGATCCAGGAGGAACAGCAACAGGCACATGTGGCCCTTCTTCATGTTTCCAACACCTTACACGGTGCACAAAAGCTACATATTATATTATAAATTGCGACACGGTCTACTGAGTCGTTGTGGGAACATTGACTGCTCCGTTCAAAGTGGCAGCCAAATGTGGAATCATTTGTTATTCAAGCTTGGATAGACTCACTATCCAGTGGAAAAACTAGGGCAAGACAAAGACTCTGTTGAGACGACCAGACCTTGACAACACGGCAAGGCTGACAAGCATCTCACACAGCAACCAGACTTTCTGTAACTCTGAAGGAAATACACAGATATCAATTAAATTAAAATCCACTGAGAAGTGAAGAGAGGGATTTCATCTAAAGCTCAGAGATTAACTCTCCCGTCATATGCGGAGAGAGGTGGATGAGCAGCCGAGCAGACACAAATGTAAACACCAGGGTGAGGGAGCAGCCGCTGGGTGACCACATCGGGCAAAAATAGCCGGGCAGAAGGGAGAGGAGGGATGATGCAGCGGTTTAAAAAAATAAAAAAGGGGGAGAAAAACAAGAGTATTATTGAAAGAGCTGCCATTATAGTTGAGGTCTGGAGTAAAGAGGTTTGTTTTTATAAAAAGGCTCTGTAATAAAGGCAGATGGTTAAGGAAGTGGTTCTGCCAAGAAGGCTCTGTCGGCTGCCACATCATCACGAGTGGAGTGGAAGAAAACTGAAGAAATCATTAGCTTGTCCTTCGAAATAACCCGGAGAGTTCTTACTCAATGTGGCAGATACTTGCAACAATCTTCTGCCAAAACCACCAACCGTATGTGCCCTTTTGTGCTCTCCATTATGTCATTCACACACATGTGTACTTACCACTTCGTCCGAGGTAAAGTCAATGAAGCCAGGTAATATCAGGAAGTCACTGAAAGACATAAACAAAATGTCACTTAGCATCTCTGTGAGAATATGAGCATCCATTCAAATACAAACAGCCAAGGAGCCTTTCATGCTTAATCAAACATGAACAATGTAATATATTCTGCTAAATATCTCCTATAAAAACAGAGAAATTAATTGTTTTCCAGCTCACAGGGTTAATTAAAAAAGTTGAGTGAGAACTATTGAACAAGATTGTGTTTTAAAGAAGGTTTGAACCACATTACTGATTTAGATCACATAACTTTACTCGTTAGACATATGTAGTTTGTCCTTTCCTGATCTCTTTCCACTAATTTGCTTTTTTATACCAATTTCAACTAGTAAGCCAGAACATATTGTTGGGCAGTCTTTCATGTCTCCTCATGGTTCTCAGAGTATTGCTCAGTGGCTCAGTATAGACACTGATTGCGTCCTGTACTTGGTGAAAAGCTACAGTTGCTCTCGCTCAGCTCTTAGACTGTATAAACAAAATGAGGGGGGAGGTTGGGATGAGTGGGGGTGCAGGAGCTAAACACAGGAATGGTGAGTTTGTTTTCCAACCAGAGTCTGTACGCATTTTGTGGGTTTTGCAGATTGGTGTGAAAACAGGGCAGGGAACACGTGGCAAGACGGAGGAATAAGGGGGGCTGTGTGTGCCACGTGAAGGGTGTTGAGGGAAACTACAGAGTGGGGGTATGTGAAACAGGTAGATGGTGAGCATTGCAGGTGGACAAAACAGGATATAGATGACAGATCAAAGGAAAGAAGAGGACTGTATCAGTTCTCTAGTGCCTCAAGTGTGGTTGGAAGTAAAGTCTAAAATAGTCACACAAGTTGCGTCGCTAGAAGGGAGGAGTCCTGAGTGTTTGTTCCCCCTCACTTTAGAGACCAAATCATCAACATTGAGACGACCAGGAAGTCTAGCACACATCTGCTAGTGTTTAGCAGCAGCCACAAACCTCAGCTGCACCTACTGACTCAGGACCAGCACTCCACCAGAGCTCATTCATTTGAATTCTAAAGACATCACTGGCTTGGTGATGCCTTATTATGGTTTTTATTTGAATGTAGACAAATGTGTGATGCTAATCGGTAGTGTTTCAAAGTACAACCAGAAGCCATACCTGAAACATTCCTAATTGTAACGTTTTCCTGTCTTTGCACTGGCATAACAAGCAATAAACCTCAAACTTTTTTTTTTTATTATATGAAAAACAGCTGTGAGCTTGGCATGCTCATGCTAAGAGATGTTACTCATTGGGTGAATCCCAATGAGCATCTGCATGTCTGCCTCTCATCGCTTTCACAAGGTTTCAGTTGACTATTGTTGCCAACAGTTAGCAGCAGGAATACAGTAGCTGACAGAAGGAAGACAACAGTAAGAAATATGTGCTCTTATCTTAGGACAGCCCTACCTGTCAGGTAATCACACAATTGTGGTTGATATAGAATAATTATTTAATAGGCATAGGGTGGGGTTTGCCTTACTTAACAATAAGGCTTTAAAAAAAGTGAGACAGAGTTTATGGGTCAATAAAGGATACAGTACGTGATTAGAGTAAGCTCTGGACAAACTTTGAGCCAACGGATAGAATGCACAGTATGTAGATGTGTAGCATAGAGTGTATGGTTTTAATTATATGGTTTGTTTAGACTTGTGTGAAAGACCCAATGTTTAACCGACAGCCTGAGGCTTGTGTGAGAGTTTCAAAAGAGGCACATTTTAGATATACAGATCTTAAGTAAACACATTTAACAGTGTCCAAATGTGTTCACTACACTTATTTACAAAAAGTTGAGCTAAAAACTGCACTGTCGCTTTTTAGGGTTATTTTAGGAGTATTGACAGAACTACAAAAGTTCAGAAGTACCTTTGATTAAAAAGATGTTAACAATCACACCCAGGACATGATTTCTGCACCTAGTTGAATGTCACAATGCAACAGGAAGCAGTTTCTCATACAAAGCTGCCTTCCTGTGTTTAACTTTCTCTGGGTGGCTTGCTTCCTTTTCCCTCAACTAAAATAACAAACAAAAGAGAAACTAAAAAGATTTAATAGTAATAACCTGCTTAATCGTTTTCTTAGATACAGTACCTGTGATAGGATTTAAATGTTGATCAAGTCAACGGGGAGTTAAGATAAACAGGAAAAGTAGTCAGAAGTTTTAAGCAGTAGAATTTATTCGAGCACCATCCCCCAATTCCTCCTGCATTCACATGATGTCAATTCCAGCCATCATGTGCGCAAACCTTGCTTTGGTCGTGATGCACTTCATTACAGTGTGGAAAGAATCACACGCGGACACACTCAAACGCCAATACGTTTTCTATTCAATTAGCTTCTGAAAAGCAACAGCAGCGTGATCAGAGCAAATCATTGGTGGATCTTTTGCTAATTAAACCTCCCCACTGAGCTTGAATTGCTTAAATCAAAATCGAGTTTTGTTGTGCAGACGATAATGCAGTATGGAGAATTATATACCATATATTTCATATTGAGAATTAAATTAAGTCATTTTCAGGGAACGCTGAGAGGGCATCTTAAGCATTGATTGTAGTGGTTATAGAGGTAAAGAACAGTGAGGTGGGATTCAGGAGACAGTTTAAGAAGAAAAAAGGCATGCTTCTTAGTGTCCAACAACCACTACAATTCAGCTGCACAATGCTTTGCTTCTTGTTATTTGTGATGGAGAAAATGAAAGGGTGATAAGAAGGATTAATGAAGAAAATCATGTCAGTCAAACCACATTATGAGTTCAAAAAGATAGATTATTCCTATTTGTCACCAGAATGCATACAAGAGCTGAGTGAGGTTAAGTAAGAAATGAGAAATTAGTAACTCAATCAAAGCAAAGTGTGTGTAAGAAAGTGCATGAGCTGTTCTGTCATGCATGTTGCATTCACAGGATAGGTCATGCACTTTGATGGTTAGTTGAAGTAAATAATGCAATCATGTCCACTGGAAGCAAATTTGATCCCCATGACCAAGATCAGGTTTATCATTGCAACAAGCCCTCCATTTACATTCTGCATTCATGCACTATTATGACGCCAGATTAAATTTTTGACACGTTTGATGTAAATCAAAGTAAAGGTGCTTTAGAAGGACTGTCATTTGCTTCCCCTTTATGAATTTACTTTTTGTAGAAGGATTTGTAACAGCACAGTTTCAAAACAGTTTGAAGATGACTGTTCTACTCACTTGTAAGTCAACCCATCTCCTTTAGAGCATAGCTCTTCAGCCGTATGACCATCGGAGACAACGCACTGTTGGTCAGATCTGCTGGTTCAAAATGTGTTGGCCATTACAAAGCACTGCTGCGCACACTTCACCCACCACTGCGCGTAGGTGAGGTTTGAAAATAAGGAGACCTTACTTTGAAATAATTAAATAATTGTACTTAGATTTTTTCGGAAAATCAAATTAAAGTTTGCATTGCAAAGAATGTGAGGGAAACGTACTTGTATGTAAGGCCATCTCCAACCGAGAAGAGCTGCTGTGCTGAGAGTCCATCTTCAGGGACGTAGCCAGTCCCACCGCTGATTAAGTAATCCGCCATGCTGACAAATGAAAAAGAGAGGCACATTCAATCAACTGTGAAACCCAAGAGTCGGATACAGATGTGTAACTTAAGTTAGAAAAAGGATGCTCTGCAAGAAAACAATACATCCACTTTGCAGACAGAGCTTTGGTGACCTTCTGGCAGGAAGACATCACCATAGCAACATCAAGTTTTGTCCTTGTAGTGACCTACATCACGTTATCAGTAGCTAGCAAACAGCTGCTTGCAATGCACGGCCCTAGTAAACAAATACTTCAAACCGGTCTTTGATGTTTATACAGTAAAACGGAGAAGCAACACCCTTCCTACTGCTGATCCCTGTACAATATCCATGCTAGGATCCCACATCTGTCACCTCAGGAGCCCTGGTGGTTAACCATTTAGTAAACTGACATATCCACGAAGCAGCACCTAAGCATCCATAAATGTCGTTTTTAGAGTTGGTTACATTTCTTGTAACTCACAAAGTACGATCAAGCAAACCTAAATGCAGTGGTGGAAGTACATTTACTCAAGTAATGTCCTTAAGTAAAAACAGGTACTTGTACTTTCCTTGAGTATTTTCACAATATGCTACTTTATACTTTTACTCGACTACATTTTGTAGGCAAATGTTTTACTTTTTATTTTACTCCCATTTATTTTACAGATTTAGTTACTAGGTACTTTTCAGATTTAGATTATTAAAAATATATATAAATTAGCTAATACATTAGCATATAATTATTATAGGTTGGGCTACACAGTAGTATATAAAGTCATTAAAATAAACCCTACTTTTACCAACTGCAACATTAAAGTGATGAACACATAAATTAATCAATATTTTTTATAAAATAATTGGTGCTTAAATGGGCCATCCTGCATAATGAGTACTTGAAGTATATTTTGTTACAAATACGGTTTAACTTTTACTGAAGTACAATTTAGAATGTAGGACTTTTACTCCTTCCACCTCTGCCTAAATGTAAATAGGAATAATCTGGGAATCAGTACACCAACAGTAAAGGTTGAGATTTTGAGAGTTCAGTACATGCCGAATTGAAGGGTGGCTATTGTTATGTACTTGAGAATCTTAACATATATCAATGCGACAAATATTTGTTAAACTACGTAGAAAGCCTTTTTTGCGGATTTCTGAAGGTAGTTTGGTGATGCGTTCATGCGCAGGTCTGGTGTCATGCCACCAGAATGTGTGCATGATGATAAGCCTATATTTAACATTTTCGAAATACGAAGCACGTGCGATGTAGAGTATTTAGCGTAAATTAACAAGAAAATACACCGTTAAAAGTTACACGCTCTTAAATCATCGCATTCAATAATTACATGTTTGCATGGTCACCGCAAAAATAGCTAGTTAACACTTTAAGCCCTGGGTAACAATGCCTGTGATGTTAGCTAACCGTTAGCCTGAGGATTGGATGAGCAGTCACTACAAACAACTAGCTGGCACATGCTGTGATGTACATGACAAATAAAAAGTCGATATTTGACACAAATATTATATCTTCACAAACACAAACGACACCCAGTTCACCTCATATAACCCGTTACTAATGTATTCATAACTTACACGACAACGTTACAATTTAGAATAATTTTAAATGTAGTATGGCAGTTATATAAAATCCCCAATTAGTGCTACTATAAGGGTCCCAGCTGCTGCAGGTGTTAATAATCCTGAGATACATGCAGTCCACAGACCAAACATGAGCTCAGTGCAGACTGCAGACATGTGGGAGCACCGTTAGCATTTAGCATTAGCAGCTTGGTTATTTTTAGTTTGCCAACGAAAAACGCTTCCTTAAGACGTTAAAGCAAGGTTGTCTACCCGTAAGTATATAAACAAGTGGTATACACCGTGTAGCATCGTAGCTAGCGTAAATTCAAACATCTTTTATAACCCGAATACGTTTAGCTAGCTAACCTTTTTGGAGCAGATGCCCACGTTGACCAAAAGGAAGCAACTTTCCAGCTGTGAATCTACAAGGGGGGGGGGGGGGGCGGGGAAGCGATGATAAGAGACAATAATTCCTTCTACCTCGAAAGACAACCTCGATGAAAAAAACTTCGTGGCTCCAAGATGTAAAAGTAGTGGTTGGCAGTAAAGTGAGTGAGAAGTGCTTGCCTGCTGTCGCTGCAGACAGTGCGTGTTGCTGTTATGTACTAGCAGCAGCAGCGTCACATCCCCTCTCCTCCTCGCTCAGAGGCGGGTTTAACCCTCTGCATGTTCCTGCTGTGAAATCAGCCCCAACAGTATGAAGCCACAGTTAACCACGTGGAAGTGTTGCTGATGAATGCTGGCTGACCGGTTCATCAGAGAAAAGTTCATTGAATTTAAATCTAAGGGCAATTGGAAACCAGAACATGTTGTTGGAGTATATGCGGTTAAATCCAGAGGTGGGAGAAGTACTTAGATGTTGTACTTAAGTGGAAGTACCAGCGTGTAGGAATACTCTGTTACGAGTAGAAGTCCTATATTCCAAATGTTACTCAAGTAAAAGTACAAAAGCATTAACATCAAAATATATTCAAAGTACCACAAGTAAAAGTACTCATTATGCAAATCAAGCAATTTTATAATAATATGTATATTATATGATTTGATTATAATTATTTATGCATAAATGTGTTTATCAAAGCTGGTAAAGGTGCAGCTAGTTTTAATGACTTAAAGCTCATGAATGTTACTCCATGTGTAACTAAAGTATGATTTAAGGGTTGAATATAATTCAAATCATTAATCCAAATCTGCAAAGTAACTAAAGATATTTAATAAATGTAGTCGAGTAAAAGTATATTATTTACCTCTGAATTGTAGTGGGGGAGAAGTACAAAGCAGCAAAACAAATTAAATACTCAAGTAAAGTACAAGTACCTCAAAATTGTAGTTAAGTACAGTACTTGAGTAATTGTACTTAGTTCAATCGATAAATATTCAGTGAAACATTAGTGTGAGTAAATGGTAATGTGAAACTTGTAAAAACGTTTCAATAGGAAATCATGTGGCTAAGCAACTATCACAGATAAAGTGAAATGGATATGTGTGCATTGGTTTTCTTACTGTCATTACACCTTTCATGCCTTCATTTCCCTTGATTTAGAGAAATGTCACGTGAACTTAAGCAGCGCTGTCGGATTTCTAGTCACATGTAGATCATCTTAATTTGATTAAGTGTACTGACAAGCCAGCATCGATCACATTTGATTCACATGATAATAATTGCAGGAGGTGTGCAGAGAAGCCGCACGAGGAACAAAATGTCTTGAAATAAATCAAAATGACTGTCTCTTTTTGACGCAGTTCATTTTTATAACCATCTTTTTGATGGTTATAAAAATGAACTGCGTCATAAATTGTGAATCCCTAGAAGTGTATGTGCTTTCATTTCAAAGTACTGCATTAGTTAAGGAAATAAAACTAGTTCAACCACTACCAAAAAGGGCACATTGGGTCACAGAGCTCCTTTCATCAGGTCATGTGATATCTAATGAGTAGAGTTGGATTTATGAGCAGTAGTCTTTTAAGAATACATCCAAAAGCTGCAATCCCCATTATGCTCTACATGAGATAAGTGTTGGACAGTCATTTATCTTTCTGACAAAGACAATAAAACATTGTCTCTTTCCAGCTACTGCTCATTGCTCGACTGAATGCCAGCATGCAGGTTGTCATCCATTTGTCAGCCACATAAATGGTTGGGATGAGCCGCTGACAGAAAATCATGATTACTTTCTCACAACTAAAGATATGGCTCTCGGTATCTTTGTATCACCTCTGCTGCAGCTTCACGGAGCAGAGTAAAATGTTTCATTATTAATAAAGCTTTATGTGGAACAGCTGCCAAATATGAAAGCAAATAACTTGTTATCACCTCTGTGATTTGTTAGGGCTCGCTTCACTGAAACAGCCCATTACGTAACTCTTGTACTACTGGCTTTTCTTGTTTAATGATTATTTCTTGAAGGGAAGTTTCAATGATTACATTTCAATTATTGAATGCAATAGAGGACCACGTGGTCTTTCCTGTAACCTAATATGCTGCACAGTTCTCTTGTTGTGTTAAGGTTGTTGGATTTGTCTGGCAAGGTGACTCAGGGGATCTGTTTCCCACTCTATGTTGTTTCAAATTAAATGTGGGTCATTGCAGATATGGGTCAGTGGTTCCTTTTATGCACTGTAGCTATTCCGAGCAGTTGATTCAGTCTTTGCTATCCTCTCTGCAGCATGCTGCCCACTCCTGTCTTTTTGTTGCATCACAGAATTGTCACAAAGGGCAGTTAAAAATAGCACCGGACGACATTTCTTTCTGTTTAGCATTTGCTTATTAGAAAGAAGTATTAAGGCCTACAAACAACAACAAAATGAGTGTCATCATAAACAAGGAGTTTAACTTCAAGGGCATTTGCAAACTGATCTAAATGCAAGAGTGTGTGGACATGTAAACTGACCCGATGGCATGCCAGTCATTTACATGTGCAGCATTATGAAGGCACAGCCAGTGAAAGTGAATCACAAAAGCTAAACGATCATTGTCTTTTTATTTCACATTTTGTAATGAGGGCTGTTATTACTTTAGCACTTTTTTTTCATTTAAAGTTTTGCTTTTGCACTTACATTTTCATAAAATCAAGACTAATCCTTTTAGCTGTAAAATCTAAAAAGAGTTGGACCTTTTATAAATGTGTTTACGAGCTCCTACTCTTCCTGGCAATAAATGAATCCTGCAGCAGGCACATTTGCAATCAAAACTGTGTTTATAATAAAACAAACAGGTATATTTAAACCTTTTAAATTGTTTTAGATGCACCCAAAGGGAGCTCAAGCCACATAAACCTTCTCAGAGACTCACCTCTCTGGGCCTAGTCCTGCCTGGATGCGTGTGGCACTGTATCTCTGGGCTGCAGTTTCATGCCCATGTCCATGTGAGGTTTGCCGGACAAAGACTTCACATCCCCGGGGTGAAACGTCGGCACATGGGGGCTGAGTTTCTCCAACAATTCTCTGATAATCCTTCTGGCTCTCCCTCGCTGCATCTGCACCAAAGTGCTCATGACCATACCCCTCCATCGTCCCTCCAAGGTCAGTCTCTGAATCCAGTGCCACCGTTTGCTTGCTCTTCAACAGAATTTCAGTAAAAAGATCCAACAGCTGAAGGTGACATCTGTGTCAAAACAGTTTGAATTCATATGAACTTCTTAGTTTGGCTCAAAAGAAGCAGGTACAATTAGGAAAATGCCCACTTTGTTTCTAAATATCCTTATCTGAATTCTAGTGTTTGCTCTATTTACTTTCAAGAACAGATATGGAGCTTAACAGGTGTTCCCACACAGAGCAAAACGGAAAAAAGACCAGTCAGGCTCCTCCGTCTGCCCCTGCTCAGGATGCACCTGCCTACAAAAAGACACCAGCCACCTCTAGGCGTGTCAGTAGAGGGCGTCACCTAGGAGATTCTCCCACTGAGAGGGTGTCACCGTGGAAATGATGCCAGCAGCAGAGCGTTGTTGTGGAGAGGCTGATGTCTTCGAAATCTTGAAGGAGATTTCCTTTCATGAAGGCAGAGGGTATAATGGCAAGGGTATATGCGCCCTGCACAGTGTGTACACGCAGGATAAAGCCACCATTGCCCTGAGCGCTTCTCTACAAGTTGAGTGCTACTGAGTGCTCCATGAAGCTCTATGTCTTGCTCCCTCTCTATGGGTTAATCCTGCTTTCTATCGGTTGCACCACGTCACTTTCACAAAGAGGATTTCAGAATTAAAATGAACAGGAGCGGAGATGAGCTCTGCGAAGAGAGCAGCACATTTTCACAGCAAGATCATTACTGTGGTGGGTTATTTTTATCCATCTGAATCCATTGCTGAGTGAAACTGAGGCTTACAATGAGTCTATGTAAAAACCACCACAGAGGCCGAGGTTAGCCCCACATGCTAATACAACATGTACCTTGACGCTGCTAAGTGAAGCTTGCACCAACGTGTCAGTGTTACATAATCACTCTTAATTTTTGCATTTAGTTTTTAAAAGAGTACACCCATGTTTTGTCTTTCAGCACCACCCTGTTGCACCCATGTCAATGGTTTCTTTCTAACATCAGTAATGAATGTTAACGTCTGCCTTTGTGGGATGTATAAACAGTAGGGAATATATATAATAAATGTATTGACTTATTCAAAATTCATGTTTCTTTTGTGCAACTTGTCCACAGTTTAGCTAATGGAAAGGATTCCCCTCCACATTCACAGAAGTGTCTGTAACCCTGCTTAAAGGGATCACCTCCAGGTGACGGACTGTTTGTGACAGTTGGACGTTAAGATGGAAAATCCTCTTAGGCCAGCCCTCTGAGGTTCCCCACTTCCCCCACTTAGAACTATCTTTAACACATGCTAAACGGAAACCCCTCACCAACACAATGCAGATAACAGATCAGGATTTACTAACATGGAGACACTCTAAAGTAGCCTACATAGGACGGATAGACAAACTCCTGCTCCGAGGGTGCACAATTGCTACTGTTGTACCTTAAAATCACATTATCAATGGCATTAAACGCTTAGTGTCTCATGAACTCAAAGGGATGGGAGCACACTAATTTCTTATATGCATGTCGTCAGGTGGTGCACGGTTCTTCCACTCATTCAATTAAATGTATCATAATAAATGTCATGTGCACAGTGTGGATAGTCATGCGATTGAACACATGGGTAACCATTGCCAACAAAGGAGCACTCCTTAATTGTGAATGACCCCTGCAGAAACCTCAGGTCAGATGATCTAAAACTACAGTAAACTTGAAATCAATTTCACGTCAAACTCTAATAAAGCAGAGGCCTCTTTGAGGAATGAGCTAGAACTACAGCTAAGTGACTAAAACCCCTTTCTATTATGTATTGAATTAAAATACAGGTATAATGTCCTGAAAGCTTGTTGTAGGCGATGTAGAGAGTAAGAGAAGTAGCTATGAAGAGCTGTGCAGGAGACAGAATAACAGTATTTAAGTCAAACTTGATCTAACACATCAAGATTAGTTCACTCGTCATGTAAAGCCTGAAGAGATCAGTTATATAATGTAATCTGTGGCTGTGGTGAGAGCTATTTAAGTCAGAGAAAGTATAAAGGGCAGCCTGAGCTACAAAAAACCCCCGGGCAAAAATGTGCAGTTGGTCCATCGCCACCTATCTCGGTGAACGTATGGGCTTCCCTGTATTCACCATTAGGTACAAAACACACAAAAGACGGTGCATGGCAGCCTTATTTACAGAGAGAGAACATCAAGTACTCTAGCATGTGAGAGAGTTTGATTAAATACAATATATGTAAGGTAGAAATATGTAAACTAGCATAAATAAAGTCTCAAAAATAGATTTGGGCTGTTCTAAAAGACAGCTTGTTGCAGTTTCAATGTTTTACACAATCCTCTCCTCCACAATTTCTTGTCTGGTGTCTGGTTTGCAGCCAATTACAAGAACCAGCCTTCTTAAATAGATTATTGAGTATGTTGGTGTCACCAGCTCCAATGCTGCTACCCTAGCAGATTGCAAGGACTACTTCCTCTCCTGATAGAAGATTTCCAACATCTTGCTGCACAAGTTAATGGATCTCAAGAAAATAGGCTTTTCATACTCTTTCCTTCGTGATGGCTGTTCTATTTAAGTGCCCCATAACCCACAAACTGACAGTCTAAAATTGAATGCATCCTTAAATAATGTTTAAGTGAACATGTGAACACTTTTTTTTTACTGATTTTTGTCACCAAATGTAAAAAATAGTTGGAATTAATGAAGTGAATAACGGCTGAGTTCCATTTAGCTGCTGCAGTTTCAGGGTCCTTGCATTGTCCATGTTTGCTCACTGGCACACTCTCATGGCTTACTGGATCAACACATGTGCTCTGGTTCGAAACCTGTGATCTGAGATCTTAACTGTCATACACTGACATCTAGTGGATGCAATGTCTTATTGCCCAAAACACGGTTATCATTTCCTGAGTAAGGGATTTCTTTAGGTGCAGATGTAGTTTTGTTCTGCACAGATTTACTGTATACTGATGTATTTGTCAACTTGCTGAACATTAACCCAGATCTATTTCTTATCCTTGGACAGCAACTTTGAAATACTATAAGTGACTACCACATAATTATATTGCATTTTTTGTTAACTATTTAATTGTAATCACCACAAAGTCCTAAATTCTTCCATTTTAATTATCAACTCAAAACAATTGGATGGACTTTGTGTCAAATTGTGTCAAAACAGTGATTCATAGTCTAGTGATTTGTATCCTTTCAATTGTTTGCCTATTTGAAACACTGCCAACTTTTGTCTAGTGTTAGTATCTTATGGAATACCCTTGTTTCTCATTCAGAGTGAGCTCTGAAATAAGGCAGTGAAATAAGAAACAAAAGGATTTAATGTTTGTGTGGGAACAGTCTGAACTTTTGGCTGTCTGTCAATTTCTGGCAGTGAAAACTAAGTAGGTCCAGATGCTAAAAGCTCCTTACACAACTCCAATTCTTTTTTAAACAGGAAATCACAAGATTTTCTGGAAATGATCCAAAATGGAAAAAAAGGATCAAGCGACGCGCAGAGGAAATACATTGGAAGTAATTTCCAACTTAACAGGCATGTTTCAGTAAAATATTGCAGAATTTTCAGCTATTTTGACTCATATTTCTAGGAATGTTGCATTGAAAGTTTGGAATGTGCCACGGGTACAAGAAAGTGTAAGCCATGACGAAGCATAGTAGTAATTAGTCATACGGTCTTATATCAAAGGTATAGTCTTAATTTATGAGTTAGTTCTAAATCTGTGCTATTATCCTTCCAGTGATCTCTTGGCTACTGGTTGCAACCTTAGCTGGAGACTCCTCAGAAACTGTGCTGAGCCTCAGGGGAAGTGAAATCATGACGGATAGAACAGCACTGCCATTTTGCTCTGCTCATTGGGGAATTTTCTGGAAACTCCGCTCTGGCATGTGTACAAACTCGAAATCCCTAGACTTTATTTTCCCTTTAAAAGGTATTGTCCTGACAGGTTAACACAGAGTGGATCCTGGTGAAGGAACAGGTCTGAGCGAACCCACCCAGGTATGTGCGTGACCAAAATGAAACATGAGTAAACTTCATGCTCAATCACCCTTCAGCTGTGAGTCACTGAGAAAATACAGATAGTGCATCAAACATATTGCTCAATACTTAATGTGTCCAGAAATATTAACCTTACTGTTTGATCAAATAAGATACAATCTTATGACTGGATCCAAAATGAGGATGTGAAAACACGAGGTAGATTTCATGAGAGACCAATGGCTCCATCCTCTTACCATGGGACGAAGAGCCATGGAAAAGTATTTCTATTTGAGTGTATTAAAAGATATTACTATCATGAGATTCCATTTCAACAACTAAGCTTTTTAGTGGATTTTTATAAACATTTGTTGTCCCAAGAGTATACATCCTACTGACAAAGGTGACCCCCTGACCTTTGTGCAGCTTCCTCCAGAGGTCACAAAAGGATGTTACAACTTTTGCGTTATTATCCCACCCCCAGATACAGAGTGTTATGACATTTTGTGGAGTAGTAGCAGACTCAGGCTTTCTGAAGGGCAAAACATATTAATGTCTTCATTACATTTTCTCCAGTGTAAGGGACTTCAGAGGGCACTTTATCATGCTTTATCCTGAGGCATTAAATAGGGCACTTTTGCAATGCATTTACATTCTATACAAATAAACAGTAGACCTATAACATTTAGAAAAATTCATTTTGAGCAGTATATTCAATTAATGGCTTGGAAACAGGCTCTAGGGAGATGACAGGAAATATTATTAACATCATAGGTGGGAGGTAAGTACATTTTTCAAGTACTGTACTTAAGTAAAATGTTGTGCTTTACTTGAGTATGCTACTTTGTACTTCTTCTCCACTACAATTATTTAATACCTTTGGTTACTTTACAGATTTGGATTAATGATGTGAAATATAATCAACTCTTAAATAAGACTTTAGTTCCACCTGGAGTAAATTCACAAACTGCAGTGAACAAAGTCATTCATAACATATAATTATTCTGGGTTAGGGTTAGGATTAGGGCTATTCTGAAATTGACCATTTGCATAATGAGTACTTTAAGTATATTTTGATGCTGATACTTTTGTACTTCTACTTGAGTAACATTTTGAATGCAGGACTTTTACTTGTAACAGAATATCCTGCACTCTGGTACTTTTACTACAAAATATAATCCCACCTCTGATTAACATGCATTAATACATATAATTCAGTATGCTGTGCCAGGTTTGTGTAAACTAAAATAATTAAGAAGGCAAAATAAAACAATGAAACTTTTGATAGCTCCATTAAAGATTGAAATGGATTTGACCAACCTTAGGGAAACTCCCACAGGTCTTTAGTGTGACATTCAGGAAATGCTGCTACTTACATGGTGAGGTCATTGATACCTCAGTGCTTGATACATAGCAGAGAGGAGGCAGATACAGTAGCAGCAGTGGGGATTTAGCTGCCGTTGGATGAGGAGTTTATCGGCGTATGAAGAAGGAAACAATATCTTTTCACCGACATTATTCAGCGGGTCTCTCTGATGCTACGCTGTTTGTTGCTGTTTATTCATCCTACCAAAAGAGAAGGAAAATAAAACCCTACATTTTAAATCAGCCGAACTTCTGGTAAGTTCTTATACTAACTAAAACAGTGGGTCTCGTTTTAGTATGGTACCGGTAAAATGACAACATCGTAATTTTAATTCTCGCTACGACATGTTGTTTTGTATTATCGTTTCGTTTCCACAGCCATGTGCTGTGATGTGATGCTGCTGTGATTAGTGACTCGAGAGATTTAAGTCGACTTTGTGTACTGTAAAGTGCAGAACAAAACTGCCAAAACTCTTGTTACAACTGTTTCAGAGGCGGATATTTTATAAATAAGAGTTACTGACTCCTCTGATGTTTTTAAGAATAATCAGAGTCGTGTGAATTTGACATACGAATATTGAATAGTAGGCTACTGGCAGTCATTTTTTTAGACCCTTTTTTGACAGCAGGATTGGAGTGCAGTCATTTTGCACTCCAATCCTGCTGTCAAAATCTGATAAGACCCACTTTGAGTTGCTTTTCAACCTAATGTGTTATTTCCTGTTTCTGTGGTCGCTTCCTTGTTTGATACGCATCCTTTCTAACGCATCCTTTCTAACAAATCCTCTAACAATTCCTGCTTAAAAATCATTGAGTGAATTAACATATTGTAGTAGATGTCATGTTATCCAAAAATATTGGCTGAAACGTATATGTAGTATGACTATTGACTACTATTGAAAAATGTGAATATATATCTATTCAGAGTTAAAACACCTCCTAGAATCCCCTTAAATCTATAATATCAAATACTGTGTTGTGAGTGTAAGCGTTATAATCCTAAAAACTGATAATTATTTTTCTTTTGCAGACAGCCTTTACAACAGGAGCCATGGTGGCAGCAGTCCTTAAGATGTATTTTATTGGAACGGCTCTGAGTGTCCTTGCGGTCTTTTATGTCATCGTGGACTCCTTTGGTGGTCTGATGTACGTCCAGGACGATCACTACACAACGGACCAGCAGACACAGAGACAGATCTCCTCAGGCCACAACAGGAAACGATCACCTGTGACTAAACACATTGGCTAACAATGAGAACCTTGAGGTCACAATTGACTTTCGTGGCAATGATTGTCCAATCGCTGTGGATTATAAATATCCTGCTTCCATTCCTAAATATGGACATAATGTCTAACCTGCAGGACTTTTACTGGATTAGACACTTGTCGTTGTTAGAGCAGCTCTACAACCAATGATAAATGTAACGGCACTACTGAACAATGATTTGCACTAAAAATGAGAGTTTGTATATTTATTATGTGAAATTTAAGAGTTTGTTTTTTTCAAATAAAGGCATTTTTAAATGTTTGAAATGTTGCAATGACTACACACAATTAAACTGTCTTATAATGCCTACTAGAGTTTGTTGTAATGTAACCAATCACAAATAAAACCATTTCAGCAGTGATTAGGAACTACAGGTTGAGCCTTGCAATATGGCTAAAGGGCAAAATACAATACAATATGCCTTTATTACAAGCAGGAACAAGTGTGCAGAACATAAGTTATATCAAGTTGAAAAACTAGTCCAGTCATGTTTGTTTGTTTTAATTCAACAAATGCCTGCAGGGCAGTATTAGTCAGCACACCTGGGTGTCCGGTGTGCACAAAATGTACGGTCAAAACATCTTGACCGGCGAAAGAAACTGAAACTGAAACTCTGCCGCGCGGTCCCCTCGTTCCTTCGAAGAGGCGGAGAGGTGGGTGTTTGTCATCTGCTGGTGGACAAACACCCACCTCTCCGCCTCCACTTTACTGACGTCAGTAAAGTGTTCAAATCTGGATCAGTTTTTATCAGATCCGTTGCAGCCCCTTTTTTAGAGATTTGGGTATGGAGGAAAATAGAGAGGGTTGTGTTTTCTGACACTTGGTGAGTTCCCTGGAACACCGGGGACACATATTCATGTATAAAAGACGTACAAAAATGCATTTTGCATGATAGGTCCCCTTTAAAAAACAAGGCATGTGCAGCACACGTCCACTGATCAAGTCCCTAAACCTCTGACTTTATACATTTGTGCTACCCATGTGTTCATTTTGTGTAAATTATGAAACAAGGCCTTGGGTTTGTAGGCTTTTAGTGTTTTTTTCTCCATTAAGTTGATTAAACATTCAAAAACAGTGGAGTTTTGGCAGTTAGGCCTCCATTATGCCCGCTGAAGTGCTCATGTTTCTTTGTCCTCTTTTCCAAGTTTTTCCTGTCCTGAGGGTGAGGGAGTGTACCAACTTGCTTTAAACGTGTTTCACTATCAGGGATATCAGTGTTGAGGTTCACACACCAACAGAGACTAGTCATTTGCGTTGACGTCATTGAAATTGCATCTCATGAGTTATTTCAGAAATGTTAAATCTTATTAAGATTCAAATGTGGAACAAATAGTAACCTTGTGTTACTTAAAATGATCAGCAAAAAACTGTGGTAAACAATAACTGTTTTGAATGAGCTACTTTCACTTCAACCAGTATTTTTTCAACCATATGTTAACATTTTTGAGCTTATTCATTTTCCATGTTAGTAGTATAAAGTAAACTCTCACAGCTGGGTTTCCAGAGGAGCCTGTGGCAAAACAGCTGTGCTACATCCAAGCACAACTCATATTACTGTTTGGTGTGTCTTCTGATTTCTTAGTGAGAAGTGGCTTCACACACCTAAGTATCATCATTTTGGAAATATATTGAAACCGCACTACAGGAATCATAAACCATGTTATGTCGTGCGTAAAAGTCTAACCCCGTCAGCAGGGAGCGTTATGTCGAATAAGTGGCGTCCTCTAACGTTCAGTGGTGCACTACAAGGAAGAAAACTTCTCTGATATGCTGCATTCACGCCTCCTTCAACTTGCAAGAACTTCTCCATTTTTGCTCTTACGCATTCGTTTTTATATTCCAACGTATTATCTCACAATTCGTCACACTGATTCCCACATCTCCTTTCTTGCATAGGTTGCAAACGGCAACAAGGTGCGTTTCCATCACTTGAAATGTAAATCCGTCTATACGCGCAGGTCACCTGGATGCGGGCAGAAACACCTGCTGGTAGAGGAGGCAGCACTTTTTATGTCCAAGCACGTCCCACTAGCTGTTAGAGCTCAGCACAAATAACCGAGTTTCCGCTGGCATCTCGGTCACTGGGATACTTATTTTGGTGAGATCCCCTTATTTTCGCATCGGATATGATCTGGAGACTGGTGGTCCTCGGTGGGGTGTACGTCCTTTTCCTGGGGGCTGAAGGCAGCAGCCGCGGGGGGAGGACGGTGACTTTCAGCCGGACTCCGCAGGATGAGAGCCAGGGCCAAGGGCGCGCACGCCAGAGGAGGGACACAAGCAGCTCCTCCGGGACCCCCAGGCCTTTCCACGGTCCTCCTTTCACCTCCTGTCGGACCCCCCTCACCCCTGACGAGCACAGGGTTCTGGATGACAATACAAAAGAGGTGAGGTGTGTTTGAGTTATATATTGACATTAATATGAAGCTGAGAAAGGCTTGGTGCATACTGTATGGCATGAGCAATGTTCATTATACATTTGCAATAAATACCTTTAATTAGACATGACAAATCAATTTCAGAGCACAGATTAACTTTTTCTAGGACAAAAAGTTATAATTTTTTCTTGCTTCTTTTACATTTTTTGCATTGTTCCAGAATATCTAAATTAAGACGTTTCTGAAAAACCACAATAAAGTAGTGAAATTGTAAAAGAAACAAGTGGAACTATTACACCAACAATAAACCCAAGCATGATAATGATACTAAATAGCAACTGTTTAAAATGATAAAATGACTGTTTGTTTATCATATTTCTCAGCCCATTCACTTCATTTGCCATCACAGGAAATGGGCATTTTGTATTATTTAATCAATTTATGAGTTATTTTTTACTTTAGAGGAAATGATGTTACATGATTATCTTCTCTCTTCCAGACAGGGTTTAACGGGGATGATGGCTCCCATGTGATTCTCACATGGGTGGGCGATGGTACAGGGGTGAGTGTCTAACAGTACCAGAGGTCAGATCATTGTCATCAACACACCATGCTGTCTACTTGACTCTTTACAGAAACGTGTTTGGAATGTCTTATGTTTGGCAGTGTTTGTAATCTCTTTATTCCGATATTCTATTTCTGAAGTTGTTCTTTGAAAAATTGGTCTGAAATACAGTTTTTGTGCCCATATTTAGAAATTTAGAAAAATGTCTACTCAGATCTTCATACTTGTCTAAACTAGATTACTATATATTTTATAAAATTATTTCAACCACATTGCTGCATTCCAGGTCGTCCTGGTGCTATCGACGTTTAGTGCTCCTATAGATTCTTTCATGACCGGAGGCTCCTCACGACTTTACCGAAGGTGAGTAAGGATCTCAAATAATATGAGAAATTTCATGAGCACCACATCCCATCTTGATCAGATCTCAAACATACAACAAATTGTATTTTCTCTCTCATCAGCACGGATTATGCAAAATCCTTTCTTGACATTTCCCATCGGATCAACCACACCTTCATAAGGGAGGAGTTTGAAGTCAGTGTTGGACCTGGGAGCTCCGTAAGTCAAGAGTAGGGAACCCGTTGTGTGAGCACTTAGAATTTGGGGAACCAGACATGTTGCCAACAGTGTTTGAAATTGCCTCACAAAAAGTGTGAAGACATCTCTGCTGTCTGATGATCTGGTGCCACATCTTCTCTCTTAAACCACTTAGTTTAGCCTTTTCTGTCCTCAAAAGTACACCCACACATACTATTTATATTCAAAATGTGGATGTTTTTATACATATTTTCTGCTTTCTCATTATACATTAGGAATATTTGTGAACTGAGGAAGGTTTAAGCAGTGTTAGAATGTAAAACTGTATTTTTCTTCTGACATACATGTTGCTTTCTTACTACCAACTTTGCATGTCATGTCTGTTTTGATTGACAGGTGATACTGACAGCAGATATACCGGTGGTGGATCACCCAGGAGGTATCATCTTCACCTCCACGGACGCCGGAGCGACCTTCAAATTCATCCAACTTCCCTTCCACCTGGCTAAGCGAATCACGTACCACTTCCTCAATCCTGACTACCTCGTGGCCCTCAGCATTGATGTTAGTCACACGACTTTATGTGGTGGTCTTCCTTGCTCTGTGTAAAATACTGGGCATTATTATAGCATTATTCTCCTCCCCACACCTTAAAGTGAAGGTAAACACTGCTCTGTTTCTTCCTGACTTCCAGGGCGGTCTGTGGCTCTCTCTGGACTTTGGTGCCAAGTGGACAAAAGTGCATGATGGAGTGCATTCCTTCTCATGGTGAGAAATAAAAGGCAACAAAACCACACACACCAAATGACAGGCTCTAAAAGAAAGCAGATGTTAGAAGAACCATGTTTTGTAAGGTTTTTTGGCCAGTCACACAATTACAGTTTTCCTTTGAGAAAAAAAGTATATTATACATGCAGTGTGTTTTGTTCTGGCTAAGAATGTAAATCATCATTTTTCATGTTTGTGACCTTTTTTAACTTTGTTTTTCTATAAGGGGGGCTGGCATTGATATGTTCTTAAGCTTCAGTAGAGAAGACACAGGTAAGAAGTTATATGAATATAATATAAACCCAAAAAAGTATCAAATGTAACCTGTTTTTTTACCTGATCATAAATGTTTTAGAACATTACAACTTTGTGGTGCTAAATACCAAATCTCATAAGAGAAAATCTGCAACACGCCAGCATAAACATGATGAAACAATAGATAGATAATAGATAGAACCTGGGATTACTGCATGCATTCTATATTCGATTGAAAAAAGGCAAGAAAAGATAATAAGCAATCAAAAACAACATTTTAGATATGTAGTTTTCCCCTTTCCCTAAAAATAAAATGCTTGATTAAATTAAATCAAAGCGAAAAATCTGTGAATAAGAGTCCTGAGTGTCTCATTTCCTGCCACTAAGTCTTCTTCTTGTTGCCGCAGTTGAGACAGATGAGAGGGGGGATCTCGTGCTGAAGAGGACAACAGATCTGGGGAAGACCTTCACCACAATCCATGAAAACATCTTCAGTTTTGGCTACATCGGAGCCTTGGTCTTCTTCTCTGTGATGGAGGACCCGGTAGGTTATACTAATCTTCCTGTACACGCATATTAGTTATATAGCCAAATCACATACAGTAAAAAGGCAATGATGCATTCTGTCCCCCCAGAGATCCCCCCGTGTCATGTATTTCTCATCAGACCAAGGAGAAACTTTCAGTCGGGCGCTGCTCCCCTCAGCCTCCACTGAGCAGGTGAGAAACTATGCATACTGTCAGAGACTTTAAATTACTCTATATATAGTAATTAAAGGAAAAAAAACGCTTTTTGTTTTTACAACATTAGTCTTATTTTCATTTCCTTTCTATTTTCATAAGATAAGATGGACCTTTATTGATCCCCGTAGAGAAATTCAGTTACAGCAGCAACAGATACAGTAAGACAGAAACACAGATATTACACATGGAATATACACAGGCATATTAAGAATAAAGTAACAAAATAAAATAATAATAATACAAAAGTATTAACAGTAAGAATAGAAATAACAAAAATAGCGTGAAATTCTGATCCAGTGAATGTACATATACAGATATGTGAGCATGGTAAATATGTATATGTTAATATTTAAAAATGGCCACAATCACCAATCTGATTTACCTCGCTTTTTTAATATCAATGAAGCCCAGAGTATCAAAATCGAAACTCTTGTAATGAATTCCTAGTCAGACTAGTGTTTACTTATTCTTTGTATGGGTAGTTCCTGATTACAATCATCATTTTGACAATTTAAGACTATTTTATTTAGGCGACATTCTGCTATAGCTACTTCTGATGAAGCAACATTTATTATTTGAGAGCCTTGGCTTTTGACCTTTTCAGTAGTATCAAAAGATTATAACAAATACTCTGCCATACCACAGGGAATGTGCAGATGGTAATATAATTATTAGTCATGTTTCTCTCACACGTTGAGTCATCCTTGGTGTCCGGGAAGCTTTAAACTCTCAGACATACACATGCTTTTTATGGCTATCGAGGTTGATTTGTCTTGAGTAAAAACATTGATGGCAACATTTCCTTTTTTCAACACCAACTGAACACACATCTGTTCTGGCGAAACACCCACCCACATACACACCTTGTTGACAGCACAAACACACAATCTCTCTCACGACGATTAGCCAAGGTTTTTGGCAAAGATCAAATTAGTCATCACAAAGTTGTTTATTCATTCATTGCAATTACAGACTTTCTCACCCGCATGTGTTCTATAACTCTATATAAACGCGTGTGTTTTCAGTTCTACTCCATTCTGGACGGAGATGTAGATATGCTCTTCATGCACGTGGACAACCCAGGAGGTAATACTTTTTATGAAACAAGCTTAATAAAATCATGCTTGACACATATTTGCAAATGTTGTGAAGAAAACAGGGCATTATTTATGGCTCTCTCAGCCCCTTTTGTTGTCATGGAAAATGTTAACGGTAAAAGCAGGACTGGTTTAGCAAGTTCTCTGTGTTGCTGACAAATCATTCCATCATACTGAGAGTGTTTGTACATACAAGTCCAGCGGCCCAGTCTTGTTCCTTTGACCCTCCCCCAGCTCGCTTTCTTATTCACGTGTATTTCGGTTCCCTTTCTCATATTTCTGATTATTTATTTCCCTGGCAAGTACTCATACAGTTAGTGCTGTATGGGTTTAGGTGACAGGACTTTTGTACTGCTGAGATAAATAGGGGGGATATGGGGTAGAGTGGGCTTTATCTTGTGTTGGCTCTAGGGAGGGAGATTTAGTTTACACTGCAAAAGCTGACAAATATATCTTGGGATCAGGGTGTAACACACACACACACACAAAACGAACAGCATGTCATCACCTCCCTCAGCTGAGCTTGTGCGTGAGCTTCACACACCTTACATATGATTGATGATGACTTGTTGTTATTATGCTGATGTTTGTGTGTCAGCGTTGCATTACTTGTTCCCAGGTGCTTACTCTCTTTGAAGGTGACACACCTCAATACATTCAATTAAGGACATTGAAGAAAAGTGCACTCCAAAAAAAGAAGAGTTAAATCTCCTGTTTACAATGAGACCAAACCTTTCTATGGATGTCATTTTTTGAGCCCCAACAAAAGTTAACAGACTACAGCTGATTGCCAAAAAGGACTAGTGTTACTTAAGCAGTAGTTTTCAAATAACCACTATGTTGTACCAAACAACCCCTGACTCACATTTCCAAGAACCTATGAGACCCAAAGGGACTGTGTGTTGGATTTCGTTTGAATGAAATACAAAATAAAAAACTCCCTTGCGTTTGGTATGTGAAACATTTGTTGCTCACTGTGGCCGTAACATATTTGGTGGCTCGTCATAAGGCTGTCTTGGGCAGGTGCCAGTTTGGTGGTGCTACTTTTTACTGTGCTTTGCTGCTGTGAAATCAAGTGTGGGAAGCAGTAGTTTTCCAAATAACCACTTTAGATGAACATACAAAGTGTCATTTCAAACGTTGAACCCTTTACATTGATTTCCGAATGTTAAATGGTAAATGGACCGCATTCATATAGCGGCACAATGCTGAAAAAGTCAATCTGAAGCCTTTGATAAGAGGACACATTTTGAAAGTGTTAATAATTCCTGACGTCTGCTTGGACTGCCTTCAACCATGTATTTCCATTAAACTAAATATGCTACTGGCTAACTTTGACCCTTGTCACACAAGTCTTCCTGCGGTTTGCTGTTTCCCCACAGACACCTTCTTTGGAACAATGTACACATCAGATGATCGCGGTATCTTATTCTCCAAATCACTGGAGCGCCACCTGTTTGATGGGCACAGGAAGAGCGACTTCACCAACATCACTTCACTGAGAGGAGTCTACCTGACTAATAAACTAGACAAAGGTAGGGTTTTTTTGTGTGGAAACTAATGTGATTGCTCAACTAAATAAAACATCTTAGTGTGAAATGTATTATCCCTTTAATGTTGTGGTCCAAAACTATTACAAATGCATTATTGAGCCACACAATGGGTGACATGTTCCTTGATCAATATGAACATGGGCAAGTTAATCCATTGTTTTTGTACTGTAAATACTCCCATCAAATGTTTATTATTCCTCCAGTACTTGAAAAGTCCCCCAAAAGCAAAATACAGATGCAATACTTACTTATGTTGAGTTAAGTTTGTTAAGAACTACAGTGCACAGCTATTTTGGGCCTTTACAAATATGAAAAATGTTATTTTGTAATGTAAACATTGCTGGTTTTCGTCCTATAATGCGATTTTTCGACAATAAAAAGTACAACAATGCCAGCCTTTCAGCTAACCTGTCACACAACCATTTAATCACTTTTTAAATGTATTACTTTCATGTGTTTTTTTTGCAGATGGCCGTATAAGATCTGTCATTTCCTTTAATAGAGGAGGGATGTGGAGACAGCTTAACAAACCTGAGAATGTGGAATGTGAAGATCAGGTCAAGAATGTATGTTATAATCAGAGAAAGAGTAAAACCCGGTGTGCCCACTTACAGTACACTACGTGTTTACTTTACTATCGTACAGATTAGTCTGTGTCACTGAACCATCACATGTGTTTTTTCCCAGTGCAACCTTCACATTCATGGAGAGCACAGTCGTAAGAACCGCATCGTTCCCATGGTGGCTCTGTCTGAGCCCACTGCTATCGGCCTGGTCATCGCTCATGGTAATTAAACAGTAATGCCTTTTCTTTCGCAATTATGACAACATTTGGATATGTTGGGTAACTTGTTCTGACTCTTAAGTTATAATTATTTTTGTGATCTTCTCTCTTCTCCAGGTACAGTGGGTGACTCTCTGTCATCGTCGCAGCACCCTGATGTGTTTGTCTCCTCAGACGGGGGTTATAACTGGAGGGGGACACTGAGGGGTCCTCACCACTACAGCATATTGGACTCTGGGGGTCTCATTGTGGCTGTGGAGACTCAGCGTGAAGGACAAGTCAAGACTATCAAGTACTGAGCGGATCCTTTGACTTTATGCCCACTGAAACCAGTATTATTTAGCCTTTTAGGGCAGAATGTTCTAACATTTGCTATTTTTTCTTGTTACCAGGTTCTCCACAGACGAGGGACAGTGCTGGAAGTTGTATAACTTCACCGAGCAGCCCTTCTTCGTCGCAGGCCTGGCGTCTGAGCCGGGGACTAAGGTCATGAACGTCAGCGTGTGGGGGTTCAGGCCTGAGGAGGACGGCCAGCCGATGTGGGTGGTCGTCACCATCGATTTTCAGAGCCTCATTACAAGAGAGTGTGAGTCAAAAGGCCTTCTTTACAATATCTATACCTCCCCCTGCTCACATATATCACTCCCTGGGGGTAGGTGCGTCAGCAGTGAAGTAGAGCCTTATGGCAGTTTGTCATTACGGAAACAAGCCATGACCTGGGACTTTCCATAGTCAAATTACTAAGAACCTGTGAGACGTAAAGTAACAGTTTGTAGGATGTGGCTCCATCTAGTGGATGCAGATTCTTAAAGGGCCTCCAGTGCATATAAACATTTCTTTTTTTTGGCCTATTTTGGCTACACTTCTAGTAATGTAACATATGCATTACAAGGGTTACCTGGTTTGGAAATCCACTTGAAGTATTGCCAGGTCACATAAAACTAGCCTCTTTTCTTTGTTGATGACAGTTGCATTCTGATTGCTCATGCTTTGATTCTTCAGGTAATGACCAGGACTATGAGGAGTGGTTGGCTCATGCTACAGACGAAGGAGACTTGAAGAGAAAGGGTTGTCTCCTGGGTGTCAAAGAGACCTACAGGAGGCTAAAGAAGAAATCTGTGTGCAGAAATGGCCGAGGCTTTGTGGTTAGCAAGAAGCAAAGCCCCTGCCTGTGCACCAGAGAAGATTACGTATGGTACGTCAATTTGTTTTAGATTCTAGATATCATGACATACTCAAACCCCACATTTCATGGAAAATAATCCCTGTATTTCACAACAGTGATTACGGCTACTATCGCCACGTGAACACGTCAGAGTGTGTGAGACAGAACGCTGCAAATAAAACCCTGGAGCTCTGTCTGAATGGAGAGGAGGATGAGCTTCTGACAGCTGGGTAATAACAGTCACTCCTTTTTAAAAAGAGGAAACAGGACTCCTGTACATGCTCACACACGTCTGACTATGTTTGTAGGTACCGTAAGGTCCCGAGTGATCGGTGTGAGGGGGGATTCAATCTCCAGCTGGCAGTGCAGACAGTCATCAGACCCTGTGGTGTTAAACCCAGCCTCGGACCACCACCTGCCAGGTCCCCGTCTCCAATCACACACTTTGACACAGCGGTCAGTTGTTGCTCTAACGAGTGTGTGTGCGCACCTTCAGTTGTTCCTGAAGTTTTTTTTAGGAAAATAACAGTTATTGTGTTTTATTCCAGCGAGAGAGGCTAGTTTTGATCCTGGTGTGTGCCGGAGCAGGAGTCATCGTGTTGGTAGTTATCGTCTCCGCCATCATCGCTGTCAAAGGGGTGGTTCAAGGAACCAGGTAGCCACACACACACATCTGCATGTCTACCTTTATGCACCCAATGGTAGCTGACCACTCTGGTTTCATGTCCCCATCTACAGTTCCCCAGTGTATCGTTTCTCCAACCTCCGGATTCAGGATGAAGATAACAGCATCACTGTGGACCTTGAAAGCGCCACCAGCAGCAACGGCACAGTCTGCCCGCAGGACTCAGACGACGTAAGAGCTATTATCACTTGTTTTATTCTATAACTTTTTATATATTGCTTTTTAACTTGAAAGATTATGTGATTTTACCATGTGTATTTATACGTGTTGTTCTTATTTTCCAGGATCTTATTGAATGACACGTGACCCATTTATATGGATTCAATGAACTTTTCAAATTCCTCCAGCAGAGCTGAAAAAGACTGCACAATGCCTTTTGTTGGAATAATGTTTTACTCATCATGGAGGGTTCTGAGGATTGCAGGACAAGCATGAGAATGTCTTTATTTATTGAGCTTGCGCAATTTCACTGTTTTATTTGCTTAATCTTATGATTTGTACAGTTTTTTTTCCAAATAACCACTTTTCTCTGTTTGCACTACCATTTACTTTCTCTTTTAATGTGAAAACAAATGAATAATCCTAAAAATGTGCATTTATATTAAAAAAAACTACAAAATATTATTATGTTTCTTACAGTTAAATACATCATGATGATTCTTAAATTTACAATAAATCTCTGGGTCGATCAATGAAAGGACACTGGAGGCGCTGTAACGCCATCCCATATGCGTCGAAGTGAACAGAGAAGAAGAAAAAGCAGGAAGTCAGGGTGAAGGAAACAAAGATCCCTTAATAGTAAGATGTCTCACTCGTAATAAACTGCCCACTCTTACAGAGAGTCAGACACATTTGAAATATATGAAAGAAATTTGCATGCGTTAAGGCACAATTTCACACAAATAAACATCATCACACCAACATCTTAGCTTGAGCCTCACAAATAGCCATCTGCTGACCACAGCAGCAAACACATTTACACAATAGTATTAAAAAACAAATAAGGCTAAGCATAAGTTCCCATATTACCATAATACACATTAATGAATACATCTGTTTTTTTTTTCACAGTTGTATATTTGTCAAAAAACAGTTTTTACGTGTTAACAATAAAAAATGAAATACAAAATTAACAGAATAAAGGTTTAAACAACATCTACCCCGCTTTGAATGGAAGAGAAATTGTGATAAAGTGTTTTGGTTCATCAATATTATCTAGTATTTATTTCACTTAAATGTAATGTTTTATTTTTTTAAATAAGGGTTAAAAACGTGCTCTTAGATTTTGCTTAGAGCTAGAAAACAATCAAACAAGAACCTACAGAACTGCCTGTTTGTAGGCTCTTTGATATCTCCGACAGAGTGGAGCATCTTCCCGCCTCTTGTCCCTCTAACATCTCAGCTGTCATTACACGAATTACTGTTATCTCTTTGGTTTCGTGAACTGCACTGAGTATTCGTGGTTACCGTGGCAATTGCACAGGTAAGCAAGGTGTGACCCTCACCCTAATATTACTTTTCAACGTATTACTTCAAAATGATTTATAACACTACCATTAGAATCCCGCTGGAGTTATTTAGGTGTAAGTTAGCAAACGTAGGCAGAGACGAGGAAGTTACACTGCAGTGAACGTAACGTCACGTTAAATGCTAGTGGACGCTAGTTACTAGTTAGCATGTTTAAGTGTAGCTTCAGCGCTATGTACAATATGATACAGCCAATAAAGGCTAGATAAGTGTAATATAAAGACCTACTACAGTGTAATAACTCATTCAAGGAAGCTAAAGTGACTTCAAAATACCCTACTAACTTTCTGTTGCATTAGCAAATTGTATAATTTCAACTATTGGCAACCAAAGGAAAGTCACCTTAAGTTAATGCCATTGTATATTGGTTAATGTCTCCCTATTGCTATTGGGGAGGACATTTAGACATCACAACTTTTGGAAAATGAACCCTTTATTTTCTAGTTTCCTGTTATGTATTGGAGAAAAACAGGTAGTAAACCATCAATGGTACATATTGTTATTATGTGGTTTTTTTCATCAAAAATGTCTATTACCTCATTATCTAACTATATCGTTGACATGGTTGTGTTCATTTCGAGTTGATTGCTAATAAAAAGGGTTAATTGTTGTAACCTTAACATGTTTTCATCACAGGTTGTTTGGTGTGTAAACATCTGACTGAAGCCAAAGATGGTCAGGGCGGGTGGTAAGTATATCCCCCTTTTAAGAAATACAGCATACGCCATAGTACAACACGATTGGAAAGTATTTTGTGGTGTTATTATGAAATGTTGATTCATTTGTCTATCTTTTTATTGCAGGTATTTTGAAGATTGCGGCGCTCGTATTTGCGTTTCTGCTAGCTGTCTTTCTGGCTTTTCAACTGCTGGAGATTAACATGGACTTCAATCTGAGCAGTGTGATCTGTGAGTAACATTCGCTGTAGTAAAATCACAACGTTCAACAGTGCCCTGAGGTGCTCCATCAAAAGAATGAACTGGGAGAGTTATCAGTTGTAAAGGAAACACGAAACCTGTTCAAACAGTTATTGTGAAGGGGGGATTTCAGTCATTTCTCTAAGATATGCCCTTGTGTTTCCTATAACACAAGGGCATTTCAGAAACCAAATATATTATTTGTTGAGAGAGGGAGTAGTCATACAGAGCTGCGTTTGAATGAGCATTATTGAGCTGTCGATGGATAATTAAGCAATAGCTCACGACAGGCCGTGGTATATGCTCATTTTATAAAACGGACAAGTAAAATCAAGCAATCTGATTGGTTCTTAGCCGTGGTATACTGAGCGTATACCACGGGTAGAATTGTAAGTTACTTTTCACAACAACTCAGTATCCCTCCGCGTCTGAGATAAACAGTATACAGTTGGGCTGAAAAGCAAACTGCCTGCAGTTTGCTTTTCAAACTGGAACAAGAAAGCAGCGGAGAAGTAACGGGGCAGAAACCCTCCTTTTTACGCAACGGTCCAGACATAGACATCAAACGGCAAAAACATATTCAGTGTGCAGTTCCTTTGGCATTAGGGCAGGGATATCTAGATACTTTCCAAGGTGCGACATCATGAATTGTGCTACTTTTAAAGCAAGCAACGATGTTTTCAAATCTGTAATCAAAAAGGTCCGCAAACACATTTAAGATTAACTTCCACCTCCGGGGGGGGGGGTCTTACTATGGAGGAGTGGATTGAGGAGTGCCTATCTCCAGAACAAAAAGCACCTAAACGACGACATGTAGAGCTACGTGAAGAGCAGGTAGACCAACTGGAAAAGTATCACCATTCAAAAGCTTTCTGATGCGGGTCTTGAAACAAAGCAGAGAAATTATGACCGTTAGTGGCCACAGGTGCGAAAGCTCTCTCCAGAGCTACTGGAAGCCGAATCTCGGGGACCGGAGAAAGTGGAGCAATATTCTCGCCACGCCAAGCAACAGCCTAGAACAACCTCAGCCTATACAAGTAACCACGTAAGCCATGCTACTGATGCTGGACAGTTTTTCAGTGGGTGCACAATAAACGGCAACATACACTAATGTAAATAAATAGCCAAATAATGGATCAACGCTCTCTGTCTAATATGTTCGCTAGCTGTTGTTAGTGTTGTTGCATAGCAACCACCTCGCACTATGTTTCGTGCAGAAGGCAACGGAGGGACTATTTTATTTTGAACATCATTATTTAATAATAACAACTATTTAAATTAGAGTGTGTATTTTTCTTTCATATTGCCACACTTGGTAACCGTTTTATAAAAGCAATAGCTCACTTCAGGCCGTGATATATGCTCATTATATCACAGCTAAGGGGGTTGTCGACCCTCCGCTTCGCGTCGGGCCGAACCACGCCCCTTAGCTGTGATATAATGAGCATATACCACGGCCTGTCGTGAGCTATTGCTTAAATATCACAGCTAAGGGGCGTGGTTCGGCCCGACGCGAAGCGGAGGGTCGACAACCCCCTTAGCTGTGATATAATGAGCATATATCACGGCCTGAAGTGAGCTATTGCTTTTATAAAACGGTTACCAAGTGTGGCAATATGAATGAAAAATACACACTCTAATTTAAATAGTTGTTATTATTAAATAATGATGTTCAAAATAAAATAGTCCCTCCGTTGCCTTCTGCACGAAACATAGTGTGAGGTGGTTGCTATGCAACAACACTAACAACAGCTAGCGAACATATTAGACAGAGAGCGTTGATCCATTATTTGCCTATTTATTTACATTAATGTGTATGTTGCCGTTTATTGTGCACCCACTGAAAAACTGTCCAGCATCAGTAGCATGGCTTACGTGGTTACTTGTATAGGCTGAGGTTGTTCTAGGCCAGGGGTCTCCAACCTTTCTTCATCTGAGAGCTACTTTCAAAAAATGAAAGTGGCCAAGAGCTACTTGCATCACATCGCTTACATTTATTCACATAGCCCTCATCAGTTGAATTAAGCTATACTTTTTTTACACGTGTGAAATTGCAATACCTAAAGCTTATCAAAAATCTTAACTTCACATCAAGGTCCAAGAAAACGAAGATTTCTCACATATTATTATGGCCCACGTAATAAGTACATCACTTAACATTCACATAAGTGTCCTTAATCACCACCTTACAAGCATTTCACTCTTTTGTTAGTGAGATGAATGGCACTGGCAGTCCACCATACAGGTGTATGCTGGAGTGTACCCATTAGGTTCACTCTAATAGAGTCATTTAAATGTTCTTCAGTCAGTCTTGTTCTGTATTTAGATTTCATTCATGTCAGAAAAAGCTGCTTCACAAAGGTATGTAGAACAGAACCACATAAAGCAGACATTTTCAGTGCTGCTTGGTGAATGTTCTATAGTTTTCGGGGTCTACAAGGCTCCAGAAATGTTGTGAGTTTTGCTGAGACTTAAGCTGAACATTATTTTGGAGATCTCCACAGGATTGACACTGAACAGTTGTTCAGCCATCTTTTTCTTCTTCTTCTTCGTCTTGACATTAAATTATAAACCATAATAAATCAATTGTATAGGTCTAGCCTCCCTATATCTGTGTGTGAAAATGGTTCCATCCTCAAAAACAAAAGACTAATGCTTCTGCAGTCTAGCTGCAGCTTCTAGCTACGGTCTTCTGTTAAAAAAAAGACACTGAATGTCCTGAATGTGGCATCACACACAGGACTTAAGTCTGAACACAGCAGACAACAGGAGTATTTACAACAGCATTATAAAAACAAAAATAGTGCATGTGGGTGCACACTTACATTCTCTGTCTTACTGTTACATAAATCCCATGAATGTATGAGATTAGGTTAGCTTCATCATATCTCAATCAGTGATTAAGTGAATAATAAAGTTTCTATCGGGTCACTATCAGCCTGTCACTCATTATTTTCAGGGAGGGGGCGGGGTTTGGAGGAACGGAGAGGAGACGGTGATCGCGGAAGCTTTATTCCTGCCTTCAAACTTTACACAAGTATTTATCAACTGAAAATAGCAAGAGGACATTCATACTCTGCAATCCAAGACTTGATTAAATCCACCAAAAACCTGACATGACGATAACGAGTGTTTTTCAAAAAACACAAATCCCTCCCTGTGTCTCTGAGCCGCAGCGACAGGGCCTGATTCAGAGCGGGTCATTCTGCTGTTGGTTCTGGACTGGTGTTGGTGGAGAAAGCAGACTGCTCCGTGTGTGGTGTCGCTGTGCTGCTGTCACGTCTGTTCCTAGATCTCTGCGTCACCGACCATTTGATATTCGTGTGACAGAAACAATTCTAAAATAAAAAAACGTTATTGTCCAGCCGCGGCCGAAAAATCAATAAGCAACCTTACTACGCTATAATCGATAATCGAGCGGCGAGCTACTGAAAAGCTGCCCGCGAGCTACCGGTAGCTCGCGATCGACGTGTTGGAGAGCCCTGTTCTAGGCTGTTGCTTGGCGTGGCGAGAATATTGCTCCACTTTCTCCGGTCCCCGAGATTCGGCTTCCAGTAGCTCTGGAGAGAGCTTTCGCACCTGTGGCCACTAACGGTCATAATTTCTCTGCTTTGTTTCAAGACCCGCATCAGAAAGCTTTTGAATGGTGATACTTTTCCAGTTGGTCTACCTGCTCTTCACGTCGCTCTACATGTCGTCGTTTAGGTGCTTTTTGTTCTGGAGATAGGCACTCCTCAATCCACTCCTCCATAGTAAGACACCCCCCCCCCCCGGAGGTCGAAGTTAATCTTAAATGTTTTTGCGGACCTTTTTGATTACAGATTTGAAAACATCGTTGCTTGCTTTAAAAGTAGCACAATTCATTATGTCAAACCTTGGAAAGTATCTAGATATCCCTGCCCTAATGCCAAAGGAACTGCACACTGAATATGTTTTTGCCGTTTGATGTCTATGTCTGGACCGTTGCGTAAAAAGGAGGGTTTCTGCCCCGTTACTTCTCCGCTGCTTTCTTGTTCCAGTTTGAAAAGCAAACTGCAGGCAGTTTGCTTTTCAGCCCAACTGTATACTGTTTATCTCAGACGCGGAGGGATACTGACTTGTTGTGAAAAGTAACTTACAATTCTACCCGTGGTATACGCTCAGTATACCACGGCTAAGAACCAATCAGATTGCTTGATTTTACTTGTCCGTTTTATAATCTCCTATAACCTATATACTTTTTTGCTTTTCAGCGAGATCTATGCCAGTGAATGAACCATGTAAGTATTGTTACATTTGTATTATTTCCTCTTTTTACTTGTTTCTTAATGTCTGATACTTCTGATGCAAGTTCCTCCTTTTTTTGTTTCCTTTTTTAAATTCTTTCTTTACCACTTGATGCATGAATGGTAATAATGAGCCTCACACAGACAAAAGAAGCCCTGCACATTTGAATGTTTTGTTCTTAGCTTAGTGCTTTAGTGTAAATAGATTCCCTTTGGTTAAGTAAAGGATAAACCGTTGCTTTTTATTCTCCCTGTGTCTGCACCTGTTTGTGTATAGGCGTATGTGATCCACTTGTTACCAGACTATGAGCTAACTGGTGCGTGTTGTGTCAATTATTTTTCATTCACAGCAATTAAGCCGTTGAAGTACAAGTGTGGGATGTCCAAGTTGTGTCCCGCTGGACACTTGGCCTTCAAGATGGCGAGTGGAGCAGCCAGTGTGGTGGGGCCCAGGATCTGCCTGGACGACAAACTGTACGTGAACGGCTAAAATGATTGGTCGTGCTTTTTACAGTACTACTATTATGGATTTTTTGTCAAAGCACTTAAGATAGTCATTGCTATCGGGATGTTAAGAGCATTCCATGGAATATAACAAAAAGTGTATCTCGAGCCGGTTTCTCAAACTTACCTACCCCACCTTTAAACTAGGTTTTATTTGTCATCAAGATACTTTATTGATCCCAATTTGGGAAATGTTTCCACCACAGAAGCATAAATGAGACATCGCACATCAATGAGAAGTAAATACAATAAAAAACATTAAAGTTATACATAACAGCAGTAGAAGATAAACAAAATACGCAAACATATATACCGGTACATACCAGTAATGTAGGATATCTATAGAGTATACATATTGAATACACAATATAAAGGCAGTACATTATGGTTGTCCAGCCTATCAAACTCCCAAAATGTAAACATTGAATACAATATACACTTTACAGTTTACATTTGAGTTAGCAGAAAAATTACGGTTTTCATTTCAATTTGAATCCTCGAGGGACCACTTTAAAAAAAATAAAATACAAATGAGTGAATTTGTGATTTGAGTGGGATATAATTCAACAAAGAGCAAATCACTAGTTGAATTTGTTAACATTTGCATACTTGTCATAGTAGCTTATCCACATAGCCCTAGGTGTTGTTTTCTTTGCAACAGCTTTCAATGTAAATACAATAGCAGGGTATATGCAGGAATCCTGAAGTCAAATGTAATACCTTTTAAGACCCCGCGGACACCCTGAATAGACTGCAGCTCCCTTTGATTAAAGTGTTGATATCATCATTTTCATGATAAATCATTTATGGAGCAAAAACGTCAAATATTGGTTTGAACTTCTCAAATGTGAGGATTTAAAGGTTCTCGTAAAAATAATGAATTGTAAATCTTGCACATGATGAGTGAGTCGTGTTGGTCAGACATAAAAATACATTTGAAAATATCTTGAAGATGAAATCATTCATTACTGAATAGCGAAACATGACCAACAATAATACAAACGTAAAATATAGTACATGAAATGATCATGACAGTTCTCATTAGTTGCAGCCTATTGTATTTTATGACATTTTTAAAACGCTATCCATTATCAAGTGTTCAAAAGTTCTGACCTAATGTTTGATAAAGATGGCAAACTGATATGCACCAAGTCTGGGAACATATCTCTTCATACACATGTATTAAAACAGTTTATAACACAATAATGTACCTCTGAGGCATGACTTCATCACACGTTTATATTTCAAAATAAACACATGTGTTCTCTTCTCATTGTCATCCATTGTTTTATGTTAGATTAATGAGCGGAGTGAAGAACAACGTGGGGAGAGGAATCAACATCGCCCTGATAAATGGTAACATTATCAGAGTTCCATGCCTCAAGGAAACTGCTGCTGATAGCAAATCAATACTGCAGCAGTTCAACACCAGTGCCACGACAAATGTAGCCATTTGATGTGCTAAACCTATGATAGACAGCAATAAACCACCTCCAAGATTGCGTGATATAACTATGAGTTTAATGTCACATTTGCTTCAACCCGATATATTTCTACCCCACAGGGAAAACAGGGGACCTTATCAACACAGCGTTTTTTGATATGTGGGGTGGAGGTGAGTGCATTTGAAATCATCATAAAACAAATATATACTGTATAAAAGCATTGTATTAACCATCTTAATTACCAACCTTGTGCAGATGTGGCTCCGCTTATTAAGTTAGTGAAGGGAATTGAGGATGGGACGATCGTGATGATGGCCTCCTTCGATGATGCTGCAACAAAGTAAGTATACTGTTTAGATTCTTGTTGCCTAGCTGTCTCTATTATCGGCTGGGATGTGGCCATGACATAATATCTGTCTTCTTTGTTCTGTAGACTCAACGATGAGGCCAGGAAGCTCATTGCTGATCTGGGAAGCTCGATCGTCAGTAACTTGGGATTCCGTGATAACTGGATCTTTGTAGGAGGGAAAGGCATCAAGACCAAGAGTCCATTTGAGCAGGTAACATGACCCACACATGGTTACATCTACTGGGCAGTTTGAAAGTAACAACGACAGTATCATTTGTCTGGAAACAACTGTAAATGTTGACATTTAACAGAAGAACTTGTTCCCAAATCAGCCGTACCACAGATATAACTATTAAAGTTTACTCTACCAGCAAATCCACAACCCATACGCCTATAAGGAACATATCAGTATTTGCACAACAATTGGACGGAACACTTAACATCAACATTTCCTAAAGAGCTCCTGTGGCCTGTACTACGAAGCAGGATTTTCGGTTAGCGAGGTAACTTCAGGGTCATAATATATTTCCTTATCTGTGTCAGCTTATCGAGACTTATCTGTATCTGGCCGTGCAACACGTATTGTCACATACTGTAGGCAGAAGTATTATTTTAAGTAAACACATTAAGTTGACGAAACACTCGAGTCAAATGTAATTAAAGTCAGATCCACTCGTGTCTTAGGTGCTTGCCCCACGGGAACGCATACGGCCGTTTGAGTAACTGTTTAGTGTCATATAGACCGTTCTGCCACACTAGGACGACCGAATATGACAGTAAACAACTGCGGTAACGATAACGGGTCCCAAGGTGGATAGCACGGCATACGCACCGCTCTGGGGGGTCCAACGGCTCCGTGTGTAGGACCTATACGATCATTTTGTGATAATGATGACGCAATAGCCCCGCCTCTCCCCACCTCTGCTGCTCACCGTCAAAGTAAACTGCACACTGAATTCAGATTATTTATCTTTCTCTCGATATGGACATAAACGCGAGTGGAGTCTAATCTGACAGGACGGAGACACGCAGCTCCTCCCGCTGTGATGCAGCGGGAGCAAAACACACACTTCAAGTCAGATCATCACCCTTAGCTATTTTAATTACCTCTCAAACTACCTAAAGTTATAAATATGTTTATTTTTACTGTCGGCCGGGTCACTCATTACAGGATCAGCTGCTGCATGAGACAGACACTGACGCTGTCAGAAGAGAGGGAGGAAAAAGAGAGGCTCCATGTATTTTATGATTATATATCATTATATCGTCGTTATTCATTTGTTTTAAAGCTCAACAAATAACAAAGAAGACCTTTGTCCGGCACTTTTATAATTTTGTGCGGAAGATTTAAACTTTAACACACGTTGACCGGCGAAAAACTCTGCCCGGTTCCCTCGGCCCCCACTACGGTGAATAAACAGAAGGGTAACCATGACAACCATGCTTCTTCGCTGCTTTTGTGGAGGAAGTTACAGCGCCACGTACAGGCTCGGCATATGTACTGCAACGTTTTCCAGCGGTTGGAGCTAAGCGGAGCTGTCTCGTGTGAACAGACACTATCCGGTGTATATTGCGTGTGGACGGAAGCTTTTTTGCGATTGCGTTAATCCTATGCGTTTTGCCGTAAGCGTCCTCGTGGGGCAAGCACCTTAGACGGGGCAGTGATATCATAAAACTGTTGATGTACGCATTCAAACACTGTAGTTTTTTACCAGCTGTTCTGTATTCACCCTGCAGTAGCAACTATGTTGCTTTTATCCTGGATTAAGTGTTTAAGTCATTTTTCAAGTTTAACTTCTTCATATTTGTCTAACACGATGGTTTACTTTTCATTCAGGAAGTATGACGCTGCGCTGTCAGTACGCTTCTCCATGTTTGTGATTGGTCAAATGTTGCTAACCCCGCCCCTTTCGCGTGAACGCGCTCTCAGCCGGACAGAGAAACCCTGGGTTGATTTAACGAGTTGATAACCAGCGTCGTAGGACCGCTTAGCGAGATCGCGTTTGTTAGGATTAGTTAAGCCAGATAACTCGGAGATATCCAGGGTCTGTTGAACTGGCTTCGTAGTACAGGGCACTGGTCAAGTCGACTCTATGAGGCTGCCGTCATCACTCTGATTTTTCAGCATGTAAGCAAAACAGCGCAATAAAAGAGAAATATAGGCGAGGAAAACAAACAATCGACTCAGGTCAAAAGGGTACACACGCTTCATATTGGTCTCATTTGATCACACTAATACACAGATTGAAATATGTGAAACACCTAATAAACACAATGTATCCGAGGGCAGCCCTGTGTTTAAACTACCTGGGGGAAACATCCCATCCTGCAGGCAATATGGTAATGACTGTGAGAACACAAGAGCTGGTGAAATCCCAGAACACCTGGGACTCAGAGGCTGCTGCTGGCCTTTCATTAGCTGGTTAAAACAGCCCCTTCACATCAGCTGTCTGGCAGTATCATTTATTATTTCTGTCATGGCCTGTCTGATCAGGAGACAGTAGCCATTGGAGTTGACGTTACAAACGATGTGTGTTGTGTTTCCCTCCCCAGCATATAAAGAACAGTGCAGACACCAACAAGTTTGAGGGATGGCCCGAGGTGTTGGAGATGGAAGGCTGCGTGCCTCAGAGGCAGGACTAAGGACCACCACCCCCCCTATCCCCTACACCTCCCATACATTCCCGTTCCAATGAGACTCTTTAAGTGGTTACACTTGTTTGGGCGGATAAAGGTCATTCTTACAGCTCTCACCCCAAAGCTTCAACCGTACCTACCAGAACAAAATCACTCGCTGCTGTGAACCCGTTCCTCTGTATTGAAACCATGATGTAGTCTGGATTCAGGTGTTTGGAACTAGATGGTAGAGAGCACTGATTTAAAGGGAATTACCTTTGATTATTGGCTTACTATCGGTGAGGCCCAAAGACTTGATAGTGTTGCATTATTGCACTGTTGCAGAGGGAAATGAAGCCACATTTCCTTAACCTGTCGCCTGCCTTAATCTCATTTTCTTATTCCTGGTTTTTAAACAAACATGACTTTGTGATTTATGCTGTTCCTTTAAGAGTTTGCGGTAAGAAAATTATTATTAACAGGGTTTGAAGACGTCATGATATTAAACCAAATGTACCAAATTCACTGTGAAATTTGTAAATATTTGTTTAGAGGAGCCTTTGAGAATATAAAGACCCAAACTAAATGAACGTCGTAATAATAATATAATTTCATAAAATAAATGATATTGTTAGCAGTGTGTGTATGTGTGTGAGTGGATTAAAGCGTTATTTCTTTGTGCCTGTGAGTCTAGTACGGCTATGTCGTTTTGTATTTGCATTTACAGTACAGTAGACATCGTCACTGTGCAAACTGAACAATCAGTACCTAGGAGTTAATCATTAGTCTGTTTCATCTTGCCTTTCTGTCAGCCACATTCAAAGAAGTTCCCCTCAGACAGGTGTGTCTGGTGGTGATAGCAAAGTTATGAGTAAAATCCACACCCTGTGTTGTTCATTTTTGTAATCTAAAACGTATTTTACCCACCCACCAGTCTTACTTTGAGTTTGCACTTTATACAAAAGCCTTTTAAGCAGTAGTACTTCACAGCGTTAAGAAGCAATTTTGTAAAGTAAAACAGTCTGTAACTCCTTGTGTTTCTTTTTTCTTAATTAATACAAATTTATAAAAATAAATGTCAACTAATGAGCGGCATTTAAAGGTTGGCATTACCATCTTATGGCTGAACCATACTTATAATTGGCAATCAATTAAATTCATTTCAAACACTTCTGCAGTTATGTTTGTAATTTTTCTTTATATAATATTCAGTGCATCTTTTTATATAACCTTAAAACTGTAATGAGCACAGAGCAAAGGAAAATATGATTCAGTCCATAAAATATGGCTCACCTCTACTGTGTCATTTAGGACTCAGCTAATCTTTTAATATGATTTTCTTCAGCAGTCATTTTTAACCAGTGACTCACAAGTTGTGCAATTCCTTCATCATTTTATCCTCTACTTGTTTTAATATTCTTCAAAATAAAATCTCAAGTGTCACTAAACTGGACCATGCTGTCATATTGTGCAAGAAAGAGTCTTAATGTTGACCAGCAGAGGGCGGCATTGCCTTATTTAGTTTTGTGTCCTGCTGTTGTTCCTAGGCTACAGTATGTGTTTGAAGTTGTTCCTTAATAGATCCATTTCTATGTATTTCATTAAAGTCAACAACCCCAGCACCTGATTTTGCTCGGTAAAAAAAAGAAGAAGCTAAATAAGAACTTGGTCTTATTTTAACAATTTAACATTGCCTTTGTTTTCACAATATGTACGCCAAATATGATCAGAAATACATGCTGTGTGTATCAGTTGAGATATTATGAATTATGCTTATGATGTCCTTACTGTGTTTGTTTATGTACAGTTTGTACATTTGACTTTTTATCCACTTCTGCTACAACTTACCATAACAGGATGGACACAACCTACGCAAAAACCTCACACAAAGTCTTTACTCAGAGTACATTCAATATCTCCGCCTCCATCTACACTTTCACATAGCAGTAATCAGACAACTCTGACATGTACTTTCACTATCATTTGGAGTATTTCTGGTCACAAAGTACACGACTCCTCTCAAGGTTTGCCAGTGGTCTGACCTTCTGATTCCCCGTCACAGAGCTCTTAGTGAAAAAACACGCCGATGCTCCCCCTCTGATCTCATCGGAGCCCCTTGCACGACATCCCTCTGACATCCCATATCCCCATGTGTGTTTATGTAAGGGAGAGCATTTGTTTGGCAGCTGTTACATATATTGTTTATACAGAATATTGCATGTGGCCCAGTTAGAGAGGTACATGCCTGGGATGCTTTAAAGTAGTGTGTGTGTGTGTGTGTGTGTGTGTGTGTGTGTGTGTGTGTGTGTGTGTGTGTGTGTGTGTGTGTATAGTGATGTAGGCTGAATCTCCTCTCCTGTGTTTCCGCGCTGAGAAATGAGGTGTGGGAGTGTATCGGCTCCAGCTCGTCTTATATAAGACACGCTATATGATGCATTATTTATCAACATATATTCCATCCCATAAACCTATGATGATGAGATATCCCGTGGGAGCCTGAGGGCAGAGCTGCACAAACGCAGGAGGACTATGGCGGATAGCGGGCTCTCACGAACCAGGAGAAGGGGGTGATTTTTTTGTTTTCCTAGAGTAGAAGAAGTTCTTTTCTTTCTCCCCCCTCTCTCTGCATGCTTCCCAAAATAAATCTGTGCACAAAACAAAAGAGCTCGCTCTCAAAGAAGCTTAACTTTATTTTGCTTGGCCTCGATGTGACCTCTGACCCCTCACCTCTGCTCTTTCCCACCCTGACCAAGCCACCCTCCTGCTTCTGTTTGCTGCAAAACAACTCCTCAACTTAGGGTGAACTTTTTGACGTAAATGCGTTTCATATTAGCTTGGTCGCCCTTCTTCTGTTACTAAAGCACACTCAATTCTTAAATGACATACCCTGCAAACCATATGTCTGATGTTGACTGCACAGCTAACACAATTAAAGCTGACCACTGCTTAACACATCAAAATGTACACAAACTTACACAATAAACCTTTACCCTGTGGTTCAGCTGACCAAAACTCATACAATCAATAAGTGCAATAAAGATGCAAACATGCATTTACATCTGTTTCAATTAAGCCAAAAACATCTGAAGTGCTGGTGCATTAGCTTCAAACAGGCGAAACCTTGTAACTGCAACCATTTTCTTTTTTTATTTGATGGCCAAGATGCAAAACAGGTGGGTTTTCAGTTGATGACACAATATGTGTAGGCTCTCAGCTGTCCTGATATTAATTGTGTCTCCGCACAAAACCCAAGAGGCACTTTATCCACCTCTGCACCAAACGTGACTCAAACATGACTCATCCAGTACATGTAGGAACATCCTACACAAAGCCCACTGGTGGTCAGAGGTGATATTGCAGTATAGTACAGTCTGTTCTCCTTTGAGTGTTTTTGCAATACACCTTCTGGCCAGCAATGGCAGCACTGAGCACAAAGCTGCTTCCTCTCTCGAGTCGTGAGTGAACTTTGCAGCTCCTTTTTTTATGCATATATTTAACGTGGTTATTTATCTGATTGAACACATCAAAATAAGTTTGCTTGTCATGCTGAGTCAGTTTGTGCAAACACTTTTTATACATGCGTGGCTGTAGTACAGTCAGTACATTCATTTGGGTGACACTTGGCTAAGATGACTTTTCAGGCTTACAATTGGACATGCTTCAACATTGATGTTATGACAGAGATATGATAAAGAGGTATTAGATAGATTGAGACTATATCAGACCCATTTTGTCCCAAGAGTTTTCTTTTTAGCATTCTTTTTGTAAATATATTCTTTAAAATCTTCAGTTTCCCCCTTGTGTACGCCCAGCTCTGCACATTAACCCTCCTCCTCCCTCCAACTTCTGCCACAACTGTTTCTTTCAAGCTCCTCAACCCCCGCACTCAGGTCAAGTCTAGCCAGTGATATTCATAAGATAAGATGGGAATTTATTGTCATCTATAAAAAGGGGAATGTGCAGATATGAAAACAGGTACAGAAAAAGGGTATAGATAGTGAGCAAACATATGGTGCAATATAAATATAAATGCTGTTAATATAAATATAGGCAGTGTGGATAAATGTGAACAACTGTTAAATGCTTATAGTAAAAATATGTTTGTATACTCTGAGGATAAAAAAAATCACACATTTTCCTTGATGACTGTTCCACTAATCTACCTATTTTCTTAGAACCACCCAAAAAATGTAAAAGAAAATTGCGAACAATGACAATTTGAAGTGACAAATAATCAATAATAAGCTTTGAAGGTTCCAGAAATGACCAGCTGGTAGGGGGGTTATGGAGTCCTGTAGCTGGTTAAGACTGCACCCCCTGCTAAGATAATGTGTCGAGAGATAGTCTCAACTGGGAGTCAACTTAAAAATATCTGAACCACGCCTCTGTAGATATAGCAGGGAATGTGGAACTCGTTTTTAAATCCTCCATTTGCGTTCCGATCTCATGCCAGCAGTAATCCAGGCTGCTTTGCCAAACTTGTTTTGGTTGAGTTAGAACTGAATCCAGGAGACAAAACAGGGCTTTGTTTAGTCACAATTCTCAACACTGCCAGTCACTGCAGATCTTACGATTCTATGCAGAGATCCAGGAACCCCTTCCCCCTTTAACTTCACTAACGACCTCACTGCCCTTTTTTTCCGCCCCACCTCCAGCCCTATAATTGCCTTTCTAACCCACACACACATAAATCCAGACAGCTGTGTTTAGACTCAGTGGGTCTGTGGGAACTTCCTGCTGACCTCAGCACAGACAGGCTAACACCAAGCAGGCCACAGAGCCCTCCCTGGACCCATAGCTGATCAATAACAAACTAAATGCACACGCATAATCAAACTTCACAGAAAGAATCAGACAGAGCTGGTATGCATGGCAGTATATTTGAAGTATTGCCCTATACGCTCAGCTTTCTGTTGTTGTTGTTATGAAAGTACATGTGTTTTCTTTTTCTCCACCTAAACTTTTTTCTAGGAAACATAATCAAGTTTTTACAAGAAAACACGCTAAGCACTGAAACAGCACTAACCTTTTCACCCTCGTAATGGCCCACATGGTTCATACACAAATACACACACACACAGTCCCTCTGGTCCCGTGTGTTCAACAGAGCTCTCATTCATGGTCGCCATTCTGAATACTTCCAGCTCAGGGTCAGGAAGTCGAGGTTGATCTGATCCCTGCTGGTGAAAAATAGACACCTCCAGTTTTTTTACACACTTACACCCAATCCCCTCCCTCAAAGTGGTGTTTCTTTAGGTGCAAACTGTGCTCTGCAAAGTGTTGTTGTACTTTTTCACAGGATCATTTATGACATTGTAACAGGGAGGATTCCTATAATGTCAAACATGGGAATATAATTGTCTACAGATGTATATTTGTTGCTTTGTATTTAAAAGTGGCACATTTGTAAATCAGTGCCAGTAGTAAGGATAGCTTTCACACAGCTTTCAACATAGCGACAGCTGAGAGCTTTATAAACATCAGGTCCTCCTCTGTTTTAGATATGTAGTCCTGATGTTTACAAAACTAACTGATGTATGGAAACCTTTTATTTCAAGTCACTCTCTTTTTTTCTTGTTGTACTATTTGCTTTTTAGTGGCAGGACATTCATTCTGTTTACATTTGGACTAAAGTGCTTTTATACCTAAATTATCTAAGCCGTGCATTCAGACATTAGAGCATATAAAAGCTGTCTGGAAGAATAGGGTTAATGTAGCTGGCGGACTTTCACTCCCATGGCCACACAGTCTGCTTCATTCATTATGCAACTGAGTGTCTACAGTCCAGACAGCCCCACTATCACCCTGCAGGCTGGGATTAGTTCCCAGAGTAATACACAGTGCTTTTGGGCAGCAGAGCACTCGCCACTCCAATGGCTATCTTGTTTGTATTTCCAGCATTAAGTGGCTGAGATGATAATATACATGTGTACTTATTCTAAAAGCGATAAAGGAAAACAGTTAATACATTAACCAGAAGTGGGAGAAGTACTCAGATCTTGTACTCAAGTATCAGAGTGTAGGAATACTATGTTACAAGTTAAAGTCCTGCAATCAAAATGTAACTCTAGTAAAAGTTAAAAAGTATTTGCATCAAGATGTACTTAAAGTACCATAAGTAAAAGTAGTCATTGTGCAGATTGGTCCATTTCAGAATAATATATATGATATGTTTTATAATGATTGATCATTAAAGTGTTATCAAAGCTGGTAAAGGTGCAGCTAGTTTGAATGACTTTGTATACTGCAGGGTAGCTTGTGAATTTACTCCAGGTGGAACTAAAGTCTGATTTAAGAGTTGAATATAGTTCACATCATTAATCCAAATGTGCAAAGTAACTAAAGGTATTCAAGTAATGTGGTGGAGTAAAAGTACACCATTTATCTCTAAATGTAAAAAAGTAGCACACAATTGAAATACTCAAGTAAAGTAGACACACCTCAAAAT